GTTAATTTACGACCTTGTCTCCTGGAGCTGGAAATTACCGTGCAAGCAACAACACCGGGCTGGCCCCTCTATCGATTGCCTGCCAGCGAGCAGAGGCCACCAGCGCGTTTAGCACTTTGGTATGCGGATGCCTCAAGAGTCGAGACATGGCCAGGCCTGATTACCTCACTCACACCAACATGTCGACGGCTCCGTTTTCTAGGATCAGGGGACAGAGGCAGGCCCGCCCTGCACACTACGCTTCGTACTCTGCTCTTGTCCGGGCACGCTGACTGAGGCCCAATCATAAGCAAACGAACTCGGACTTCGTGGTGCGCAACAGAGGCTGCGTGTTTGGTGTCAAGTCGTGGAGCAGGGTCTGCTGCGTGGCCCGTTCGTCGCGGGCTCCGTTGCCTGTACGTAGTGTGCTTGTGGGTGGGCATAGTGTTTTTCTGCAGCATCTCGCAACCGTACAACCTCACACAAGTCAAGCAGGGCATAAGCTTGGAAAGCCAGATGAGATGCGGAGCTGCATGGCGCGTGGACAGGCGCAGGCAACGTGCTCGTTTGGCGTTAGTGATGCCTCGCAGCCCTGCTGCGAAGCACACCACGAAGCAATGCGTATCCTTATCACCCATCTCGAGTTCGAGGTGGGCGTCCCAGGCGGCGTCAATTGGCAACCAACTGCCACACACAACCTACACTAAGTGTCAGTGCCAGCCAAACCCAGCTTCCGGGGAGGACTGGCGAGGTCTTGCCGGTCGAAGAACGCCTTCCCTTACCCTACCGCGCCTTCCCTGCAAATTCCTCCAGTCAAAAGTCTGTCCAACGGACGAGCGACGAACCCAGTCGTGGGCTGAACCGGGCCTTTTCCCGCACACGTGACATTCGATCCCCAGTGGCCTTCCAGGGGTTAGTCAGAGAATCCGGTGACAACAGCTACAACTGATTCACCCAGTATGTACTGCATCCCCCCCTGCTCTTCGGGTCCTGCCAGCTCCACCCCCTTCTAACCGCTCTGCCCGGCGCAATCAGTGTGTAGGTAGTGTGCACACTTCGGACCGCAACTGACGCTGTGTTTCGTTTCGTTCGACCGATTGTCTGACCTCAACGGTGCCTCCTACCGACTCGCCGGCGCCTGCCGGGCTCGCCTGGCCTACCCTCCTTCCTCGCTTTCGTCGAGCATCGCAAGCCCAAAGCCCCTCCCTCTACGTACGCTTTTGTACACCGCAACCCGCCATGATTGTCCGCCGACCGTTATAAGACTGTGCGTGGCGAGCCTACGCAGCTCGCCAGCACCTCTTTTCGGATTCCCACCCTCACCTTGCTTCTTTCGCTCTGCGGCATTGGGCGCATGGGACGACTGTTGGGCCCGTCCCCTGAGCGCTCGAGGGCCTCGACGGACAGCAATGAGCAAGCTGGATGAGGCAAATCATGCAGTCGAGGACTCGGTTCAGACTTTGCCCGGGGCAAAATATTGCGCTCGCTTTCGAGAATGTTAATACGACATCATCTGCAGTCTTGCTACTCGGGTCACCGATTCGCTGCAAATCGTATTCGTCAAGGGAATGCTCTTGTTACAAGCCGATCTAACTGCATGAACTCTATCTTGGAGGATCTCGGGCTGGCAAATTCTGCAGCCCAGAGTTTGTCACTCGGCCTCCTATGACGGTCTCCCGTCAGCTAGATATTACCTGAACAAGAAGGCACCAAGGGCCGGGTTCAAATGGGTAGGCCGTACGGCGGCATGCTGGCCGGCGACAGCCCTCTAGCCAGAATCAGGCAGTTGCTCCACGGCAAGCCTACCAGCGCTTCGGCAGTACTCGCCTGCAGCCAAGAGCTCGACCGATCTGTTGCACAATTGCATTTGATACCACTATCTGCCGACTATGAGCTATTGTGCGGTATGCTGTTGGTTGCTGGAGAGGGCAGGTGGCTCTGAAATCTGCAACCATAAGACAATAGGCCGGCGCAGCATCCTCATCTGCTGTACAAGCGTCATACGCTTCGCCTTGCTGTCAAGCACCCTCTATCCAACACCGCCCGGAGCATCCTCTCCCCTGCCAGCCGCCCGATTAGAGCGCGCCATGGTGCTTGGAGACTAGAGGAAGAGGCAAACCTGGTCATATCGTCTCCAGCCGCGAGTCCAAGCCGCAGCTTGTCAGCAACGCCCCTGTTCCTGGCTGAGCTGACTATAGTCTCGCTGTCACCATCTGAGCCGAAACTGGGACGCAGGTAGCGTCGTCCCGATGCCCTCCGTTGCTCACTGATGCCTCTTCACCAGGCGTGTCCGAAGAAGCCGATGTGGGACGCCTTCACAGCTTGAGAGTTCGACCCATGTTAACATACCAGTCCCTGGAATATCAAAGAACCTTCACGAAGCACGTTCGCCTACTACTCTGCAAAGCCACGTCTTCCATCCGTTAAGCTTCATCTGGCCGTCGTCAAAATTGCCGGTAGCCGATCTCACAGGCTTTGGCATTGGCGTCTATCGGCCGAGATCGTATTCTGCGAGACTTTAGGTACCTTGGTCGACCTTGGCCGACCTTGGCAAACTGCCCTGCTCAACGTCTTTGGCTCCCAAGCTATAATCTTTTGGGACGCAGGCCTTGAACGATCTGGTTTAGTTTGCATGGTGTGTGCACTGTCGCCCGTGCTGCTAGCGGCTCTGCCCTTAGAGGATGCCCCTGAATAGGGTCTCAGCGAAGCCCTACTTGACGTTTTCAGCACCTAGCCAAGATTGTTAGCTCGACGGGTCACTGACGGAAGAGTATCCAAAGACAACAAGAAACACCATTGACCCAAAACTACCGGCTCCGGTCATCTACACACGCGCTCCCTATTGCCAGAAGGTCACATTGGGCACCATACTGTCCAGAGACCTGCCGGTTGGATGCCCTGTCCCAGAAGTTAGGTTCCCACATTCCTATGGTACGCTGAGCGCTTCATTGCCCTCCGATTTGGACTCCGCTCCACAAGCTCAAGCTCCAGGGCCCCAGACTTCACTCCGCCGCCCCAGTGTGATGAAAGATTCTACAGACAGAACCCAAGTCTTGGCTCGGCCCATGGTTTCCGGTCTGTTGGAATAAAGCGCAGTGAAGGGGCATGGGGTGGGGCTTCCAAAGTAAAGATAAGCGCGGTTGTGGAGGTTCGAGAGCATAGTGAACGCATTCTTGCAATATCATGCTCCAGCGCGTGCGAGGGCGCGTCGCGTCTCGCTACGTTTGATACGACGGTAGAGAGCCTCCTCTTTCCCTTGGACATTATGCTTATGCTATACATGCGAAGTGTTGTCCTTGTGTGTCCGGTGAACTGGGTAAGAGACATTGCCGTGCTTCTGCGTTGCTCTCCTCTTCCCAATTGGACTTCACCGAGTCCTACGGGTAGTCTCGAGTTCCGTCAAGACCTCGTCCACGACGCTGGGGATGACGGTTTTGTTCCAACTGATATGTGACTCGGGAACAACCTACTCTGTCCTTACAACTCTCTTGCTCAACCATCCGTCTGTACCGATGGATTCACTCGCCCGGTAGAGGCTACCATGCGAAACGTGCGAGTGGTGGGGAAGCAGACACTGCCTCACAATTACCACCCCTCCGGCGCCTCTCATATTTTCTTTCGTCTCTCTCGTCCAAGTTATATGATATGTTGTTCGTGTTGTCTCTGCCGGTTCTCTTGTCCCGAGTTGGCATACGCCTCGAAGACTGCGGTAGAGGAAGAACAACGGCGACCGACCGCAAGAGATGCTTATGACTTTGCGGCCCAACGCCAAGGGCTTGACCACGGCGTGACGGATCAACCATGCCGCATGCCATTCAGTAATGCTACCTTAAGGAGACGGTTCCCAGCACTTGGATCGGTGAGTGCTAGGATGGCGATATTTGTTTGGATGTGGTCAGTGATGAACTGTGCTGCTAAAGACCATGAGCATTAACGGGCGAGCCTCCATAATCACGTACTCGATAGAGGTGCCCCGAAGTCGATAAGCCTATCGCACGGGACGGATGAAGGTACGCGAGGCCTCGATGGGTATCTGATGACTTCGCCAGGCTTGCTTCCTTAGCCCGTTACAGGCCTGACACGCTGATGTAGGGAACCCGAGCGAAAGGTGCGAACGGATTGTTCCGCAAAGCTTGCGGGTTTCGTTGAGCGAGTGAGGGGGTGGTCGGACCATGAAATAGGATGGGGTTCCATGGCCACTTGGCGATAGAGGCTTGTTCCCGTGGCGGCAAGAAAAGATCTTGTTGCCAATTCAATTCTGACTTGTGTTATTTTGCGTGCTTGTTTCGTGGAGATTGTCATGTAGTATTGCTGTCTTGGGGTTTGCTCATGGGCGTTGATCAAAATGTGAACCGTAACCCAAAGTCTCGGTGATATAGAATATGTCGGAGGTGGCCTTAGCGTTCGGCGATACCATACAATGCTACGTGATTGCTAGTTCTTAGCTAATAGGGATGAAAGAGTTGTCTTTTTTTTTTACGGTTTCGGACCGATTTTCACTACGAACGCGTGCGGCTTCTTTGTTTCTGGATATGCCAGAAGACGAAGACGAAGTATGAGGTGTCACAGACTCGACCTTTCAGCTCGGTAGATGACCAGACATGCATCTTAAACTTCCTCAGCCTTCACAGAAGTAGGGCACTTCATGTAATCATTCCTGGACCTGGAGCTGGTTGCGGTGATTGGGTAGTTGAGGTTCTGCGATTCGATTTCATGGCTCCTGGGCATTGTACACAAGGCATGGTTCTCACAATCAAGGTGAGAGAGCAGGAAGAGCAGAAATCAATACTCGTATGACTTCAAAGATCTGTTTACCTGGAAGTTGTTTCAGTTCCATGCAATGCCCTGTTAAATTGCTCCGAGAGAAGGCGAGCGTCATAAAAATCCTGATGTTTATCATGAACTTTCGTTTCCAGCCAATACTTGTCCCCATCGCGATGGGTCCCCATGCAAGTCCCATACGGCACTTGTCAACGGAGCTTCTTAGAAGTCATATCTGAAGTCGGGGTTTTCCTTGTCCGTCATATCAGCAGAGGTATTCGAGGGCTCAATTTGTTCATCGCCGGCCTCAGGACCCGCAGCCACACACCCTTGCTGCCATCTTGCGAAATATCCTCGGCGGCGGCCCTACGCTTTTCGAGGTTACGCCGTACGAGCAGGAAGCGCAACAGGATGAGAAAGGAGTTAAACAGGGCGTAGAGGCAGAAGTGGGCGGTAAAGCCCTTATGGTGACGGGGCGCGTCGCCGGCCTGGAAGATCTGAGGCGCAGTCATGTTGCCGGCGGCCCAGTCGATGAAGTTCATGGCGAGCGTCGTCGACTTCTTGGTCTGGCCGGCGACATTGCGCGGTATGAGTGAGTAGATGAGGTTGCCTTCGGCTAGGTAGAACTGGGTACAGTAGAAGGCGACGATGAGGCCGACCCGGTTGCTCGCGGAGGGGGTGATGCTGTACAAGTTGGCGGTGACGATGATGGCGGTCGATAATGGCGGGACTGCGATGGTATTAGCTTCCCTTCTTTTCTTGTCGCCTAGCTCCAGTGTTCACTGCCGATGAGTACTGTACCGACATTGTGCAGCCCTACGGATGAAAAGAGTCGGTGTCATTGGGGTAGCAACACCGAGGACGAGGAAAAGGAGCTGTCGGGACTTGATGTCATGACCGTTGTAGTGGGACGCTCCCCAGGCAGTGGTACCAACGACCTGAGATGGTTCCGTTGCTCTTGCTGGTTGAGTTCGAGTGGAAGAAGCAAGGCGTACTATGAGCTGGACTGTTGTCATGCAGTACCAGAGAGACGCCAAGATGGACTGCTCCCTCTTTGTGTACTACTGATGTTTATGTCAGTTTCATAAATGCAATATTTCGGGGACTTGAGTATCGGCATACCCACGTTGATGTCCTGTGACTTCATGTTAGCAGACATGTCTTTGTTATATTTGTGGGACAAGGAGACCATCAACATGATAATTAGCGTAGGCTGGACGCAAGACTCGAACACACCGAGAGGAAATCGAACAGCCATAAGGGTTGGGAAACTAGTTGCGGCAGCCGAGCATGCGATGACCATTCCCCGCCAAAAGATGTTGGCGGTAAGGTACTTCGCGACGGGTAGCTTTTGGAGGAGCAAGTTATTCGGGTAATCGCCGACGAGGACACCCATATAAAGAATAGTGCCCAGTCAATTAGATTAATTGGTTCGTTGTAAGAATGTGCTTATGTTTTGGTCTCTAACCAAATAAGGATGCAGCTCGCCTGGATCGCTGCCCCACGAGGTTTGCATCTTGCCTGATGTTCATGACAGAGGCAAAACCAAGAGTTCCTTCGTCGAGAGATTGACAGAAGTACATTCCAAGCATGCAGGTCAAGATAAGACGATTGACGACCCAGAATAGTTCCTTGTCGGTCTTCTTTCAACGTAGATTGCTTGGGTGCCAGCATACTCGTTGTTCTGAGGCACCGTGAGTTATGCGTTTTACTGAGGAAATCGGGGGACTCACCATGTTACCACCTTCATAATGTTTCAAAGCAACACTGAGAGGAGCAAGAAGACTCATGTTGTCGCCCTGCATTGGGGTGTCTTGCTTCATAGTGTAAGAGTCTTACAATGGACGGGTTTATCTTGAAGACCCGGCTTGATGTCTCATGGTCACCCCGGGTTTCCTTGTGCTCATATGCGATCAATCTTGAAATTTCTGGGGATTCCAGTTTTCACAAGTTCGGAGAACGCGGAACACATTGAAGGTCGAGAAGTCTGGTCGGGTGTGATGCTCTGGGTCGTTTCGGCGTGTTTGACGGCCGCGGACCACATATCGTCCCCAAGCTGGGAGATTGCCCAGAGGACCTTGTAGATGTTCATCATGTTGTCCTACGGCTTGTGAGATCATGTCCGAGTGGTTAGGAATATTTTAGTCACTGATAATGATTAATTAGAAAGTCCTTGCTCGGGACCAGGAACTTGTATCGCTTCGTGACGCAAACATTCCATGACCTGATAGACCCGACATTAGCGTCGTACCGACTGTGCAGTGACTTTTACAGCTGTGATTGCCGTCTCGTACGACCTCAGGTCATTCGAAATCTTCCAAACGGGTTGAACTCAAGAAAAATGTCATGAAACCCAGGTCATGGGTTATCCTGAGTTTTGCGTTGGAGTGGAGTGTTTCTGTCCACCACGCGCAAGCGAACCTGACGACCATAAGAGTTGGCCAGAGGGTTCTTTCATAAGTCATCAGGTCATGTGTGCGACCAGCAACTTTACTCTCGCCCTCGCTATCCGGCATCACCCGCCCTCGAACAGGGGGACCTGAACGGCAAACACGAGAAATACACAAGCAATTGACGACGTCATAGGCAATAAGTCGAGAAGATTCCGGGGGCTTGACTTACTCCAGATACAACGGGTGCGGTTCGTCATCCGCTGATGAGCCAAACCGCCGCATCATATGCGTACACTTACGTCGTCGCTCGAGAAGAAGATGCAGGCATCCCGGAAAGAGACCGGAGGTCCGGAAACCGAGTTCAGGATACACATATCTGGTAGCGCCCGGCTTCATGTACTCGGGAAATAGGGTTGGCGGCGAGAGATTCACGTCAAAGTCTGTCAGTTGAGAGGAGAGACTGCCAGGGGATTGACCGATAGCCAACGTACCGAAGAGAAGCTCTGCTGGGCTACACCCCAGATCTTTGTTGTAGCTTTCCGTGAGAAGAGTGAGGCCGCCAGAAACTCTTTATCTTGACTCGTATCCGCCGTAGATGATGGCGGGGTCGATAGCCCTACAGCCTTATTGACTTGTTCCGGAGCCTGTTTATCGCGCTTCTATGAAGGGTTCTTATCTGTCTTGGTCACGGTTCCGGGGACGGCGTCTTATAGAGCATTTCCCCTTACACAAGCGTTTCTGTTGGTTTGGGGGATGAATTGCCCCTTGGATCTCTTGAGGCCATTGTCTGTAGGCACTACCTCAACTTCGACTGCCGAGGGCGCCATGTTGATGGATTTGACTAGAGGCTTCGGTCACTCTTTTGCTAATAAAGTTGCCATGTTGGTTCGAAGCCGGCAAAAAGACACCAGATACCCGTCAAAAATAAGCAACTCGAAATCTTACGGATAAACAGATCAAAGCCACTGCAATCTAGGACACGTTATTCAAGTAATCCCTCACAGGTACCGGCGCTACGGGTTGCAGACACACACAGCTCCTTAGTCAAGAGAATTCTCCCCGCAGAGAGACCTACCTGATTTTCTCGGGAAAAAGGTTGGCGGGCGACCCGCAGGTCCGACTTTAGAGCTTTCGGATCGTATAGCTTGTCGAGAAACAATGACTGCAGTACGTTGCTGGGAGAATTTACTGCGCGGGGGCAGTCCGGCGCAAGATCCGGTAGTTGCTCCGGCTCCGGCCCAGGGGCTGGCAGTAGACCCTGCGGGCCGTTGGGATGGTGGAACCCGCATATGCCTCGTGGTATCCAAGTAGGCGACCGCTATTGTATTGAGGTTTCTGAAACTGACTTTTTAGTCTGGTTCGTATGTTCATTCCCCTTGGACATGGGTCGTAATGGCGGTGGTGAAGCGGATGCCGTGACTTGAACTGCTGCCGCCCCCATTTCCCAACTTTTCCAACTTCCTCCCAGAAACCAGCCGGGTCTGCGGATAGCATAGCACTTGTATCGTGCCCATCCATCGTCTCTACTGCCATGATCAGGTTAACTATTGAGTCTCTTAGCAGTGAAACTGACGCTGTTAGTTTATTCAAGGCCAGCGTGATCAAAATGCTGGGTCTTGTGCGCGACGGATAAACCTGTGTCTCCCATAGACGATGAAACAGACAATGAACAGATGATTCAAGAAAGGCAGCCTGATAGAAAAAAGGCACAAAAAGTTCTAAACAGATACAAACCACCGAGATTTGCATGGACAAACTTGCAGTAGACGTAATATATTCAAAAGGAACCCTACCTGAGCTTACAACAACCTTGACAACCAGGAGTCTACTTACCCTCACAGTTAACCCTCGTTCAGGGCCTTGAGAGACAACAAGAGAACCTTTGTCTGCCCAATCTCCACCTTCTCTAAGAGGACCTTCTCCTCAATAGTTCCCAGGTCTTTATTTTCGCCCAGACGTCCTTCACCCTCGCCCTCTCCCAGGACACCCCTCCAACCCCTCAACCCCTTTTTAGGTCACTTCGATACTCGTCACATTCTTCCCGTAGTTCAACGCCAGAAGGAATGTCGAAACACCCCAGTCTCGACCGGACAGGCCCGCCCCAGACTTGCACCGCGTCTTCGGTCAATAACCTCGGCAGGTACCGCATCGACTCGCCCTCTCGTCCTGCGAAACCGCACTGATGTCCTCGTTGAGCGGGACCCTCAGCGGCGACACTGGTCCGGATACCCGGTGGTGTTGTGCTGCTGCTGGCCCTCGGCGTCGCGCTCGTGGGCCTGTCAGCCTTTGTCCACGACGACGTAGCTGTAGCCCGCTTTGGCAAGCCTCTTTTCGACCATGGCTGTTGCAGTGTCCTCGATGAGGGTTTGGTTAATGTTCTGCGTGAACACGTTTACGCAGAACCATCCTGTTTCAGGGGAAACGTATAAGCCAACGTTGCCATCCGTGTTTGGGGTGGTTGGAAGTGGCAGTACCCATTTGCGGCTTCGAGGACCTTCCAGGCGTCTTGTCCCCCTGCACAGAGGACACGGCGGCGAGGACGAGGGCGAGTATATTGGGGAAGATGGCTAGGATTCACTGCGGTGACGACGGTCGTGTGTTGAAAGCCGTGCCTGTGGGCATACCATAGTTAATTGTACAATGGAGATATCAAAGATCACGGCAGCTATGTTGAGAACGACAGTCTGCATACTCTGCGGTTCTGGAGATCGTCCGGGATATCCTCTGATGCACCAGTTATCCGATCAGAGAGCTATTCGCGGGGAAGAGGACCGGTCGAGTTGAAACTCCGCACTCCTGCACAATTGTCGGACTCCGGATCCGGCCAGTAGATGTTGACGACGTTTAATGTTGACTAGCTCACCAGGTTTGGCTGACGCTTAGTGCAGGTGAGACGACTAGATGAAGCGAGCGCTTCCTAGAGCTCGTCGAGGGTCTTTGTCACATAAGGCCTTCCGTTGTTGCTTTTATATTCTATATTCGTACCGGTTGGGAATGTTGGGCCAAAAGTGGTCATCACGCATCATGAAGTTCTCTAGTATTCTGAGCATCCTTGTTCTTGGGGCAGGCTCAGTGGTGCACGTTACAGACAGAAACCCGTTGTCCTACGTCCCGAAGCCCGAGGGGACCTACGTCCCCCAAAGAACCCCGAACATAACGACGCTCCTGGACTTTGTCAAGTCCCGAAGTGACCTGGCCACATTCACCAAGATCCTCAATAGATCCGCAGGTACATCGCGCCGGCCTCGGCACCTTGCACACACGCAGCGGGAACCATCCAACACACGCGTCGCCAGGCTTCCTCGAGGCCTTCGACACGCCCCCGGCCTGGGACTCCACTCTCTTCGCGTCGTCGGACACCGCCCTCGTCAAGCACACGAAACAATACTTCAACACGTAGCACCGACGCCCAAACGCCAGTGATGGCTCGGCAACCTCGTGCAGCACCACTACATTCCCAACTCTCAGCTTGCCGCGAGCGTCTTCAACGGCACCGCGACGCGAACCCAGACAGGGTCGTATATGTACATTGGTACGCAGGTCAAGGACGGGACACCGTGGTTGAACGACGTGGCGGCGGACACGGAGGCGGACTTGAGGGTTACCAAAGTATGTGCTTCCATCCCGGTGGACCAAAGTTAAGGGAGCGGGAGATGACTGAAGCGTTGCAGGGCATCGTTCACATCATTGATTGTATGCTGAACCCCTCGGCGCAGCTTTTCGAAGCGGACAGGCCGAGGACAGTCTAAAGGTTCATCGCCGGTAGCTGCTCTGACACATCGCTGCCGTGCTGAGGAGTTGTCGAGAAAGCAAGTGTCTAGGCGATGAGAGAAATGATGACCCCGTGATACCGTTGTATCCAGATGAGCCGTAGTACTGACCATCAGGCTGAGAAGCATCAGCGGAAGTCTATTGTATCACAAAATCGACTGAAACTACAGTGTAGGTACCACGGTAGCATAGGCGGAGCCGCAAATCCGTTGGAATGTCTCAAACCTTGTCCTGGAGTTCGCATCTCGTCACATCCCTGTCTTGTTAGTTGCCCTGAATTAGTACGTAAAGCGACGTTGTAGTCCCACAAGCCACGCACAATTCAAATATGAGCGGAAATCTCAGAGCTCCTGATCATCCAACAGCAACACTTGGAAACAACCAGCCCTGATGGTCTAGCGGTATGATTCTCCCTTAGGGTTGCGAACAGCTTCTCAATATGGGAGAGGTCCCAGGTTCGATCCCTGGTTAGGGCCCACTTCTTTTTCCCACGGCGTGCATTTTTTTTTCAAACAGTTCGTAAGCGTTGCGGATATCGACGCAGTTTCGTTTTATTTTCTACCACTAGGTGCTGGCCGTTGGCTAAGCGCCGCAGCCTATTTGCACTGGAAAGAATTTGCTAGTAAGCGTCATCTGCCGGGTGAGTCAAATTGGAGGCGTCAGAGTGCCGACTGTGCCTCTAGGCATTGTGGTCGGAATTTAGGTAGATGGAATGAATCCTTTGGGGTTGATCCTACGGGCTTTGTCCTGCAAGTCATCCTTTGCGGCACGGCATGCTCTACTCGGATACAACTGCCGCTGGGTTGAGAACCGTGACAAGTCCAGACGACGTCCCCTTCCAACGATCGGCCTCAAAGTGCGATCAAAAGTTCGCGAACCATGATATTGGAACTCAGCAGCGCTGAATCGGCTCGTTGACGGCGCACCCTTCAAAGTCTCGCGCGTGCGGGCTCATGTTTCTGTGTCGGTTTCCATCAATGGGTAGTAGCCGGACAGTAACACGGAACGGAACGGCACCGCAGGGAGGGCACGAAACAACACGAGGCAAGACCCCCGACATCGAACGGCAATGACTATGCTCTTTGGTTGCATTCGGCTACTGTGTTGTAACAACGGTAACCGGTGGCGGTAGTCGAGCCAACGACAACGTTTTGCTATGCTTTGGCCATGTTTTGGTCGGGCACAGAGTCGGAGGGTATTATTTTGACAGGTCTGGGCGTCCCAAGGCCAACGGCAGCAAAACTTGCCCGGGAACCCTCCATGCGCATGCCGGGACGATGCATCATGGCATAGTAGTATCCTAGGGCTGCGCAAGACAGAGCCTCAATGGACGAATGGATGTGTGGGAACCTCGAGGGAAAACTGACTGGGAAAAAATAGGAAGGATAAAAAAAAAGAGAAGAAAAACAGGGCCCGAGTCTGGTCTAGCGCTTGCATGATCCCTGGCGTTGTTCCTGAGAGTCAGCAGCAGTACCTAGCCCACCGCCTCTGGGTTCCTAGAATAGTGTACTCCGTATCCGTACTTAATCGCCCATCTCCGGGTTACCTTATCAAAGTAAGGTAGTGGGGACAACGGCTGCCAGCAACATGGGTCTCCAGGGGAGCCAAGAGCTTGGAAATTGGACGTAGGCGGCGGTAATGTCGTACCACCGCAGTCGATGCAAGGCGAGACTGCTGTCCAAATGATGCCACGACGGGGTGTTGTAGTACACAGCCTCGAGGTTGGAGTGCCCAATCTGCATTGCGGACCGTTGTCCGTGGTTTTTTTCTCTTGCTCTCTCTCTCCCGCATGCGTGGGAGTCTGACCGGGGCAGATGTGAATTCAAGAGAAGTTGGCGGGAACAGGCGGCGAAGGCATGCGGTGGATTCGGTGGATGAAGATTGGTCACGCGTGTAGAGTAGCATCCCGTCGAGTTTGTGACATGTCTCGTTGTGTTGCGTACGCCTTCTGGGCAAGGTTCCTAAGCCCGTCTCCTGTTTCTCTTTCCCTTTCCCGTCTCCCGACGATGATGTAAGTCAGGGAGGCTCGAGTGTCATGCCTTCCTTCTCTCTCCTTGGGAACCGTTGGCCGCTGAAGTAAGCCTCATTATCGCAGGCATGGGCCATGCTTCCACGCGTGAAGTGGAGGCGTGACGAGTGCTGGTAATAGTATGCTGCGTACAGGTAATAATAGTAGGTTGGGAAAGAGAATTGGGATGAGTTAGTACGATCATCTGTCACGCCTGTGTACCGCCTCGAGGGATGCTCGCTGCGCAGTGACCTGTGCACAGCAGGCAAGTTGCAGGCCCGGACCTCGAGCAACACACAAACTGGTGAGGTGCTGGCAGGGCCAAGCCAGCTAACGGCAGCCCTAAGCCATTGGCCAAACGGGCGACCACCCCCCAATCAGGCGACTCTTGGGCGATTCGAGTGTCGTGATTGGCCGCAATCCCGGACGCCGGCGCCTGCACGGGGCCTGGGTTGGAGCGTGCCTTGCCGCCTGCATGAGGCCACCCCTCGATCCTGAAACGCACGCCGTCAGGGAGTCGGATTCATCGCGACCTTCCTCAGCCCATATTGTCGTCCCTCCCTCCCCTTCACACAGTCCCTCCAGTCCTCCCTCTTGCGTGGGCTCTGCAGATCTCGCACCGTTCCTCTGCCGGCGAAAGCAGCCTTGCGCCCACAGTGTGCGATTTGTGGGCAGGTCCTAAGGTGTTTCTGGTGCGTTTCTCATCCTCGCGGCTGCTGTTCGAGAGCTCGTGGGCAAGACCAGGGAGGGCCCGCCCTGACCGCAACGCCGCCAATACCTACGTAACCCACCCCGACCTAGGCAAGACCATGAAGCCCACCACCCCTCCGGGCCACCTGTCGTGGCTTTTCCCCTTCTCGATACAGTGCCCCTCTGCTGTCTGATTGAATCTGGCGATTCGCTCTGGGGTCTCCCTTGCCAGCGCAGGTCTCGTCCGAGACAGTTTTGTGGGACCCCCCCTTGCCGGCCGCTCTCCCGCCCTCAGAGGCTCAGAGGCTCAGACCTCGCCTTGCGGACCAGCGCCAGCGCCAGGAACCTCTTCTCCTCTTCTCCCACTCCGTGTAGCAAGTTGCGGTCTCCTTTGGAGGGAGATTTTCGGTCCATCTTCACCTTCTTCTGTACTATCGTTCAAACCTGCCTTATTTTCTTCTTCGCGACGGCTTCGTCGACCGCTCTCTTTTTTCACCCCTCTCCGAACTTGTGTGCGCTCGATTGTCCCCGCTGGGTGGTGGAAGTTCCCTTGGTTTTTTGCTGGTCGAAGACAGTCCTTACCCTCCCGGCACAGCGAAGGCGACGAACACACAACCGAGTCCGTACCGAACATCACCGAAAGACGCCGGCCGTCAACTCTCATCAGCTTCTTACGCCTAACAACCTAAAATCTATTTCCAACAAAAGAGGAGGAATCTCGGAAGAGGAGGATCATCCCGCTTCAGGTCGAAAGCAAAGAGGAGCAGCCAAGTCTCTCCGAGCGACATCTTGGTTCTCGGGTCTCTAGGCTGCTCGGTTTTTTGACAAAACGTCACCAGCCATGGCCAACAAAATCCTCATGGCCTTCGTGGTCGCCGACTTCATCTTCCTCGTCACCGGAGCCCTTCTCCTCGGTTTCGCCCTCATCAACCAGAACCTCATCAAGGAGACCCCGACGGACGGAACCGATGCCGTCATGCGTCTGCTGACGGCCCAATTCCCGTTGACAGGTGCGTAAAGGACAGCGTGATGCGGACGATCCCGTTGGCATCCCACGGGGGTGACATATCAACATGAGTACTGACATGGCCGCAGCTGGCATCGCCAACGCCGTCTTCATCTTCGTCACTTTCATCAGCACCATCCCCGGTATGATTACGCCCACCCGCGGCTGGCTCAAGATCTCGGGCTACTTGACCACCTTCTGCGGCCTCTTCAGTCTGATCCTTGGTGTCTATCTCTGGGTCCTCACCCTCACCACCAAGAACGATTTCAGCAAGACGTGGAATGCCCAGAACCCTGTCGTCCAGGAACTCATGCAGACTGCTGTAAGTGACTAACGTGATGCCCAACGTCCAAGTCTCCTTTGGCTAACACGCATCGATAGTTCAAGTGCTGCGGATACTTCAACAGCACTTCACCCGCCTTCGTCACCGACGCCCAGTGCCCGAGTCCCGCCGCCGCCGCCCTGCAGCGCGGCTGCGCAGCCCCGATCACGAGCTTCGCCAACATCTTTGTCGACAACATCTTCACCGCCGTCTTCGGCATGGTCGGTGTCGACGCCCTCCTCATCGTCTGCACGGCCATGCTCCTTAAGGACCGCAAGGAGCGCGAACGCTACCGCCACATTGACGAGAAGTCTGGCTACCGCGGCTTCTAAAGTCTCGGCAGCCTCATTTTTCGGGGCAATGCCGCAGACCACGGATTGGGCAATTCAAACCTTTCTCGCCTCTCGTTCTGGGAACCTTTCTTTCTTCGGAAACCCCCCTTATTCTTGCTGTGTGGCAGTAAGGGAGCGGGCATAGCACCGCCTCCTTTTCTTTTTTCTTGGGATGGGAATGGAACGATAATCGCCTCACCTCCGCCGCGGCCATTGACTGGCCTTAATCTTTCTCCTTAGACAAAGTGGACAGGCAGAATCAATATCTTACCCCACCCTTTTCTCTGCAATTCCGCAGAGCCCTCCTTGTCTTCCTGGTCCTACGGGAGGATAGGGGGCTTACGACTCTTGACGCATGGAAACGAATTTTTGAACGGAGATATTCGAAGCGAAAGTCTTGTGTGACGGCCATACCCTCTCACTCACTCTCTCACTCTCTCTAGCCGCGGTCATCTTGGCTCTCGAGCTGAATTGACGACAACCTCCTTTTTCTTGTTTTAGTGTGGACATCATATATAGATTTTTAGTGTTGATTATCTCTGATCTGTAAAAGGGGGGACTTGCCCTGAAAACAAACCTGTTTCTCAACCTTTGTCCATCTCGTGCGGTTGTCTTTTGGTGTGTGGGCATGTGTGACTTTGTGCGCACTCGACCAAGTGAACGTGGTCTCCGGGTCGTGAATTGTGTAAGGATAATGGGGGAGGCGTGTGCCTTGTAGATGCTGACCTGACGTGGTATAGTAGGGGAGGACTTGGCTGCGAACGAGATGAGTTCATATATATAACAATCTCGGTTGTTGACCTAGCGTGCGTGTGCCACTTTATGGATCTATTCGTGACGGTGGCGACCTGAAAGGCGTCGACACAGCCAAGGCAAGGTGCAATATATCTGACTGCGGCCCCCAATGATTGGGATAAACGAGATCGCCAGGCATTCTACAAGCGAAAGCCGGGAATTTTGGCCACTTGACAGGATCCTCAGAGGTGTAGAGTGTCATTGCAGCTTGGAATAGAATGGGCATCTGTGTCTGGGTAACACACCGCCAAGGAAACTCTGGGTGTACACGTAGGGAGGTTGTCCCATCCAGCTCCCCCTTCCTACATCCGACTTGGTTCGTCGATAGGCAGAGCCGGATAAATTACTGCAAGGGCTCGGTTCAGCCTGGCATGCTAGACTGGTTGAGATAGACAGCCTGCCGCCGAGAGGGTCATCATGACAGGCCGGTGGTCTGCGGTAGGTCGGGGTTGACGCTGCGCCCCCCCCGCGCGCACATATAAACGAAACAAGATAGACGAACTGGGCCAATCTACCCGGATCAACGACGGGCGGGGGGCCCATCTATCTCCCGCACGCAGTACTTGGAGGAGCATTGGCGGCGCCGGCGAGTTAATAAAGAATCAGTCCTGCGTCTCGCTGGTTTTATTTTTATTTAAAATTCTTTTCTTTCTATGGTTGTGTCTGGCCCATCTTGAGCGGGCGAGCCGGCTGTCCGGTGGCGCCTGGGACGTGGAGAGGTGCGCTGGCCGGCGGGTACGGACATTATGCAAGAGGCGGCCATGGTCCCCGTACTCCCACACACTCCCGGATCGTGCTGGATAGGCCCGAAGCTGCGGACCGAGTCCGTACTCGTCGAAGCAGAACGGGGAGCATCTGGGCTTCGGCAATCTCTATCCAGATCACAGTGTGCGGGTTTGGCGAACCTACTAAGCACGATCGCAGCCAGCGCCCACGGGTCGGCCATCACGCTTCCACATCTCAAAGCCCCCAAGCCACACCCGTCAAGAAGAATGGGTTCGCTCCCCCCCCCCCCTTTTTTTTATTTTTTTATTTTTGACGTCGGCCGGTTGGGTATCGGCCGCATACCATAATGCCTGCGAGTCAGCCATGATCGCCCATCCCTCTTCGCAGGCTTCCTCACACACCGCCCCCCGAACGTCCTGTCGTGTCGTCGAGCGCTAGTCAGTCCATTGCCAGGAATGTAAACTTATCCTCCGACGTCGCTCTCCCGTTTTTTTGGGTTGTGATAGATATAGCACCCGTGTGCCTACTGTCACGGCTATCGGCGGGGGGAAAAAAGGTATAATGGCGGTAACACAAAACGGGGGTGGGGGCTCTACACGGGCGCCGAACTCGCCATAAAACCTTCGTAGGCAGGTAGAAGAACACCATGATGGCACCTTTAAGGGGGTTTCCCTTCGATTCTCGTGCTGGCGCGGACGCACAAACACGCGGATACGAAAGGGATCACGGATAGACGGCCGACGTCGGGCCCCCTCGCGCAGTCTGCACCGCCCGCGTCCTCGCCACACAGATAATCCGATGTTGGGCGAGAACAGGCCCAAAGATATCACTTGGGGCAAAACGCGTGCCGGCGTAGGATCGATTATCCCCTCTGCAGCCATGTGCGGGTTTCGGATGGACGGTATGGTGCCCATCATCTAAAAAGGAGACTCTTGTCGCGCAAAATGCGGCACTGCCAGACATGGCCTGCTGCGTGTTTTGCTCTGCTCACGTCGTCCGTCACCACGTCATCGCGTTTACTACTCACAGACCTAGAAGTCGGGTAAGGAACCCAAGCGTCAGTACTGCCGCGTAATATTGGAGCCCAGTGGATGTAAAATCTTAATGCAGAATAGAAATGCTGGGCCCTTGGGACACGTAAATGAACTCCAGCAGGTCGGCCCAAATGCTTTTTCCCCATGAATTACGACGCAAGTGGACGGCTCACCCGCTCACACACATAGAAAAGGGGTTCTGCATGATGAAAAAGGAAAATGTTTAAAAGGGAATAAAGACATGACAATGATCCGGTACTCATACAAGCGAATCGTCATTCGGCCGGCCGCCCCGCCCCCTATCATGGGACCCGCTGCCGCTGCCGTTCTCCCTGCCTCCTCCAGCTCCGGGATCCCCTTCCCCTTGCCCTGTCCCCGGCGGAGGCTCGTCTCGGAACATCGGCCATGCACTGCCGCTCCCGCTGCTTCCCGGCGGGTTACTCGCACCGTCATCCGCCACCGCACTACCGGGCCTCCCTTCGGACCGCCACCACTTGAGCTTCCAGATGCCGCCCAGCGCTTCCTGCAACGTGGGCGTGCTGCTCTGGCTCTTGCGCCGGCGGCGTGCCGTGAAGCCCGGGAATCCCGTAGATTTACGTCTCCTGCGCCCCATGGGCCGGCGTGACGATGGTGATTCACCGCTAGGCCCTGCTTCTGAGGCGGGAGTGAGAGGGGGAAACTGGTTGCCGCTGCCGCTGCTCGCGCCGCGGCGGTGCGGGAGCAGAGATGTCGATTCGCTAGCGTCGGGCATCGTGCTGGAGCGCCTGCGCGAGACGGGCGGGCTGGGCGTATCGCGGTCTTCGAGCTCGCCCCAGATCTCGGCGCGTTCCTGCCATCTCCTGCCAGTCTTTTTGCGCCTGGGTGTGGGAGTTAGTGGGGATGACTCGCCGCTCGCCACATTAAACGTCGAGTAGGTCGTTGCAGGTAAGGGGTCGTCCTCTTCGTGGAGGCTGTAGAGGTCGTCGCCGCCTAGGAGAGACTCTTCCTCGTCTTCCGTGTCTTCCACGAGGCCGAGGCCGGGTGCCAGGGAAGATTGGCCAACGCCGGGGGGGTGCTGCTCGTCGCTGAGGCGCCAGGACAAGGCCAGCACGCCGGCCAGCAGGATCACGGTTCCCAGTGCGATGAGACACGCGCGGAGGGGGTTGATCATGTCTGTCTGCTTGAAGTAGATCAAGCCGTCCAAGATCGCGATGATGTTATAGATGCAGAATACCAAGGGGTACAGCACCGAAGTCGAAACGAGCTTCAGACCACGATGCAGGTAGTAGAGCTGGCTCAGAGCCAGGGTGATCAGCGCCAGCACGAGGACCCACGCCTGCCAGTGGACAAACTGGTTGTTACCGTCGGCGATCGTCTTAATGATCAGCTCGACAGCCGACTTCGCAACCAGCAGCGAATGCGCCGAGAGGATGCCGCTTATGCACCCATATGCAAGACCGCGGGCGAAGCGGAACTTTGAGTTGAGTGACATGCTCGTGAAGTGGTCGAGGCAGTCGACGCTGATGGCTATGGAAAGAACCAGCAAGGCCTGCATGCTCATCCACACAATGAACGGTTTCCGGCCGAGCAGGTCGAGAAGCTCCCGCAGGTTATGAGCGGGCTCAGGGATGGCGCCGAAGATGGCGATCAGCACGGCGCCGGTGCAGACCAGCAGCGTGCCCCAAAGCGACCACCTCGTGAAGGGCTCGTTAAGGATGAGGGTGGCGCATATTGAGTTGAAGACGAGACCCGAGGCCTGCAGAGTCGAGAGCACGGGGAGAGGGAGAGTCGAGATCTGGACGGAGCTACCGAGAAGGTTGGCGGCGATGAACATGCCCATCCCCAGCTGCCACCTGCCCCTCCGGTACGGCGGCCGGCGTATTTCGTGCGGACCCTTTTCGTCTTCGAGGATGTGAGATTTCCGCTGGAGAGTGAGGCCTAAGCTCTGGACGCTGGTGGATAAGAGGCCGACGATGATCCCGATCTGCGTCAAGGAACACATGTTAGCGACTTGGGCGCACTCGTTTCAAGGGAACAAATGTCCAGCGCAAAGGGGTTGGGAAGCGTACGGCGATTGTTCCCCCGGGGGAGATGCCGCCAAGGGACCCCATTGCGCGCACAGTATCCAGCTAGGTGTCGGTCATTTGGCGGCGGCAGTTGTTGATGTTGAAGCCGCAGCCGTCGGGGTCATGAAGTATCGTCGATCGTCCCTTGTCTCTCGTTCCCTCCCCTCGGTCTGTCACAGCGTTCGTTCGTGGGGGTGGAGGGAGGTATTGTTTCCCTTTGCGAAATGGCCCGATGGAATCGACTTCGGCGGGTGATCGGACGCTTCGACGGGATGGAGGAGGACAGAAGAATGGTGCGGGAATCGCTTCTAACGTTTTGGGGGGAAAAGATGTAGCCAGGAACGTTTGGCCGAAGAGTGGTCGCCACGCTTTGGGCGAAAATGTGTGGTGCTGCGCTTTCCTCCAATAGCCGCCAAGAGAGAGCTTGTGGATGGGTTTCAAAGTCCGGTTGCGCGTCTACTTTGTTCTGACAGCAGTCGAGGAGAAACAGGGCCGTTTCCTCTCTCACGGAACTGTTGCTTGCGTAGAATCAATTTAATGCGCGTTATTAAAACACGGGGTTTCCACTAGCATGGCCGGAGTCGGTGAACCACGTTCTCTGTTAGATCGTGGCCTCAGCTCGAAACACCAGACAGACGTACGTTGGCTATGCACGACGCAATGGCCGCCCGCTGTTCCGATCGGTGTAGAGAAAGAGAGGGTCGGGATTCGGGTCTGGACTGGCGGGAAACCAGGAAGTGCCCCAACGGAGAGTGAGGTACAACACTTCGTGCGCTGCACTCCCCAGTAATCCACGGTGCACGCAGCAACCAAGCACCACCACGACACTGCAGCCAGGGTGGGCTCCCCACTCTTCAGGTCCCGCCTGCATTGCATTATTCAGTGCTCGTGGCGGTGCGGCTGCTTCTCGGACCGGCGTCACCTGACACCCGGATGTTGCGTTACAGTATCTTATCTTTTTCCCTGACTTGCGTGATGTCTGATGTCACTGGCTTCAGAAGAAAACGTGGCTGGAGAAGTGGTGCTAGGTAGTTCGAGACGCACGAGCCATATGTGGCTTGCGCCTTTCGTGGGTACACAAATGGGGCTACGAGTTTGGGCGTCCACCCAAGCTGATGTGGCTGACGGGCTACCCTCTGTGAGTGGGTAGCGCAGGTCGCTAAAGCTGGGCCGAACGTCCAGTGATGCTTGCTGGCTGGTGTGCTGCTGCGGCTTAGAGAAGGTAGCAAGGCCTCGTCAAACAACAGCTTCATTCAACCTCCACCGAACCCGACCCCCCCTCCCATCACGACTTACCTCGACCCCCGACGGGCTCAAAAAGCGTCTCACCACCCATTCCGCGCGGTCCATCGTTGCCCGTCGTCCTCCTCGTTTCCCGAAAATCCTAATTGAATCGGAAAACAAAGTCGCTCACGCAGACAACCCCCCCCAAAACCGCCCATCATGTCGCACCAACCGTTGACCGACGACCAAGTAAGCTCCCCCGCATCGCCCGCCCATCATCGACGACACAAAGCACAGCATGGCTCGCAAGACCTTCACTGACTCCAGGGTGTGACGAACAGGTCGGTCAGGAGCTCCGCAAGATGACGGCTTTCATCAAGCAGGAGGCGATGGAGAAGGCCCGCGAGATCGAGATCAAGGCCAACGAGGAGTTCGCAATCGAAAAGTCCAAGCTCGTCCGCCAGGAGACGGACGCCATCGACGGCCAGTACGAGAAGAAGTTCAAGCAGGCCCAGATGTCCCAGCAGATCACTCGCTCCACCGTTTCCAACAAGACGCGCCTCAAGGTCCTTGGCGCCCGCCAGGAGCTCCTCGACAATATCTTCGAGGATGCCCGCAAGAAGCTGGCATCCGCCACAAAGGACAAGGGCAAGTACCAGACCACCCTCAAAAACCTGATTCTCGAGGGCCTCTATGCCCTCGCCGAACCTGAGGTCGTCATTCGCGCGCGGAAAGCCGACTTTGACGCCGTCAAGAAGGCCATTGAGGACGCCGTCAAGGAATACAAGAAGGAGGTTGGCAAGGACACGTCCGTCAAGGTCGACGAGTCCGACCCCCTGCCCGCGGAGAGGTACGTTTTTCTATACACATTGCACATGTCGCAGGATCCACAAGAACAGAGGCTAATGACGGAGCAAACAGCGCCGGAGGTGTATTCATCGTTGGCGGAAAGGGAAAGATTGAAATCAACAACACATTCGAGGAACGCCTAGTCATTCTCCAGGACACCGGTCTGCCGGCCGTCCGCGAGACTCTGTTTGGAAAGAACCCCAACCGCAGGTTCACCGACTAAAGCACATCCTCTCTCCGAAAGCGCGCGCCCTGCAAAAACCTATATAGCCCCTCCCCCCCTTTTCTCCCACTCCCGGGGGCTGGACAAACGCAACGCTGCATGAAGGAAACTCCCGGCGCCATCCTGTTTTTGAAACCCCCTTCCTGTGGTGTATCTTAGATGCTGTATGATCGTGGCCAACTCTTGGCGTATTAGGTAGTTATCGTTATACTACGAGTCCATCATCATTCGCCGAGTGCCGTGACGAACGTGTCGTCCTCGCTTGACGGTGATTCGGCCTTGATGTCCGTTGTCTCGGCCGGCTTGTTCCTCCTCGAGTGGACAAACTTTTGCATAAAGTCTTGTTGCCGCCTCTTTTTCGCTGACGACGGTCCTTGGTCGCCAAAGATGCTTTGCGTAGGCGGGCGTTTGGTCCGGACTGAGTAGTTCAGGCGCTCTCCAACCCACTCGAGGACGCTCTTGGTCTCTGTACGCGCCAGGTTTGCGGCTCCGGTATCGTTGATACCGCGCCAGATGGCCTTGAGACGCCTCGCAAGGTCGTCAATCTCCGCATTGAACTCTCTTTCATGCTCTCGGTTGTTTTCGTCACGCACAAAGGAGCCGTCATCCACGGCCATATCGAGAAGCTGCACCAGGGCCTTCAGGTCGGTGTAGTCAGTCCTGTGGCTGATATGGAAGTCGCTGTCCTTGACCCTGGCAATGACGAGACGTAGAGAAATGGCATCGTCAGGGTGCTCGCTGGCTAGTGCTGCGTCCCGGAGGAAGAACGCGACCGCCAGACGTCTTCGTAGCTCATGAAGTTTGGGCGAGGTGACTGGCATACATAGAAGCGGCAGTATCCGGAGTGATGTCTTGTCGAATCCATGATAAAGAGACGAGCAGATCTCGAAGCACTGTACGTATCAAAGTCAGTGATGGTTCTGATCCCGATATCGCATCCTGAGACTCAACTTACAAAGTCGCCCCAGACAGCGTCCTCAACCGTATTCACCAAACCCTCCAGGGTATGTTGATGATGCGTCAGGATATCCGCGTTCTCAAGAATCACCCTATCAGCCGCCATGCGTAAGAGCATCTTCACGGCGAAAACCACAGAGTCGTGGCTAAGCTGAGCTGCTACCCAGTACAGCCATTCAAGGAACGACTGGAAAGGCTGCCAGTCATAATCGGCATAGATATCTCGAACTTCTCGCACTGGCTTGAGCACCTCGTCACCAACATAGTCCGCGGCGCCCAGCCTGCGTAAGGTTTCTTCAAGCCGCTGGGGTGTGATGAGCCGCTTGACCTGTTTTCTGTTGGCCGCGGCGATCCTGCGGTATTCCTCCCGGAGGACATTGACCTGTTCGACACTGACCATGTCCAAGATCCAGAGGTACAGGTCGTCTGGAAGTCCAACAGTGATTGCCAGACTGGCGGGCATCCCGGACATGAGGTGTCGATCTCGCGATCCCGCCTTTCCAAGGAACGACCAGGGCCCTTTTGCACACTTTTTCGGAAAAGGGGCGGGCTCGCCCAGACCGCCATCCTTCTTAAAGAAATACCACTTGGTTCTGGACGCACCCGCATCTGTCCGATCCATCGCCTTCATCGCCTTGTCCGCATCCTCCTCGGTCTTGACACCAGCAATCTCAATCAACTTCTGGCGGGCCTTACTAGGGCTCACCCCCAGGTCCTCCATCACTTCGTCCTTGACCTCGGGCGCACCTTGCCGCTTGGGACTGTCGAACAGCACGTCGTGTCTTCTCGAATGCGCGTCCAACGTCTTGAAATCGAATTTGTGCTTCGGCTGGATGGTGAGGGGTGATTTGTGTACCATCTTGGCCCGTCTCTTGGCTTTTGGTGTCCCATCTGGCCTCGGCTTGGACGGGCCCAGCATGTCGAGGTCGGGGAATGAATCATCAGAGAACGAGTCGTCATCATTCTCTTCGTCGGAACCTTTAATCACTGTGTCTCGGGCGAGAGTGAGACGCTTCTTTGCTGTCGAGGGAGACGGTGGCATGCTTGGGGAACTTGGTAAACTTGGGAGAGACGGCAAGCTGTTGGGGGTCCCGCTGATTTTTGGTTCCCCTGAGCTATCACGTTTGAGTGTTCCTGGTGACTTGCTTTCTCGCAACGAAGACAGAGCAGACACCTTGCATGCCGATGGGGACCCGGGCGGGCTCTCGCTCGCCGTTTTCCTGGCTGGACTCTGCCCAAAGAGCCGCCGCCTAGGTGTCGTAACTTCCTCCGGCTCAGGGGACTGCTTGGTTGACGAAGGTAGCGAGGAGAACCGTACCTTCCGCGAGGAACCGCTGTTCTGCCCTGATGGCAGCGTCTTGGGGGTGGCGTCCTTCCCTGGGGTGCGTGACCGCGATCGCGGTCTCCTGCGGCCCGGTGTCTGATATATCAAACGCCGGAGGGATGACGGGAGGACAGGGGTGGTTTGGAGTTCTGATAGTGACGACGCCGAAGTGTTCAAGTTTGACGATGTAAGAGGTCGTGGGAGGGCTGTCGGAGATACAGCTCGACCCGGTAGACCTCGGGTGTTCGAGTTTGAGGTCCTGTGTTGCGCTTTCTTTGAACGAGTACCCTTGGTCGCCGTTTGCTTGAGCGGCTTCACACTTCGGGTCTGGTTGCGAGCAGTAGCTGGCAACTCCGGGGCGGTATCGGGCGACTGCGATCTCGAGATTTCTGATCTGGACTCCTGGGAAGCCTGCGACGACGACACCGCAGGCGTAGCAGATTTCGGTGCATGGCCAGCCCCGAAGAAGCTCCTAATATCTCGGCTGCCGTTTGTGCCTGCAGCCTGGGCGGTGTTGCCCGATTTGCGAGCCATGGCGGACGAAGGGTAAGTGGAGGTGTAGCTTTGTGTAATTTTGTCTTCAACTCCGCCCAAGTTGCGGTGCCGACTATTTCGCAAGTCACTTACGAATGGGCAGCGTGTGTAGGTCGTCGCGATGAGAAGTTTAGTCACATCATGAGAATACAGATAGCACCGCCGGATGGAATGGTCGTCGAAGTCCGACGCGTGGGCGACGCCGTTTTCGCGTTGGGGATTGAGTTGACCGGAGCTTTAGTGGGGGCCACTTAAAGCTCGGGAGTCTTATCTTATCAAATCTTATGTCATCACGGTCTTTGGGCTCACTCGCGCGTTTCACGGATAGTTGGAACAAAGCCAACGCAAAACTAACCAGTTGACCGGACTGGAGGCAGCTTCTTCAAATCCCATTGTCATGAGAGCACACCCGAAGCGTCTGGGTGGAGACAGACAATCCAGTGGCCAAGGCCGATCTCTGGAGTTTGGGCATGAGTAGCAGCACGAGACGATTGCCACATTGCTGACTGAGCGGCGATTTTGCGCGACATCTGCCAACAGGCAACCCTGAGCATACATACAGGTGTCCACTACTCGATTCAGTCCACACCGTACATGACAGCAACTATCGTGCGAGGTCCAGCGATGACTCGGTTCGGGTGAGTGCTGGACGAACGGAGATTCGGCATCCGCGGAGCGGGTAATCTTCTTTCTCTTTTTGTTGAAAGTAAGCAAAACAAGAATACGATATGCAGCTGCGGAAGCCCCGGGTCACGGACGAGGAGGACTTCGGAGACGCTACAAGAACAGATTGATCATCACGGCGGAAAAGACGCGGGCTGCAGGCTGCGGAATGTTAAGTTGTCCACAACCCCGGCACACACTCAAGACAGGCGGCCAAGAGAAAACCCCGACGATCCCCAGTGCGAACCGCTGGAGGCCGCATTTTTCGAGTTTTTTCGGTTTCAGGGGCCGGGCAGGAGTCCGAAATAGGGGCCATCGTAGTCATGACCGTCGCGCTGCATGACGGTGTGTTTTGGGAGTTCCTGGGCGGCGAAAGGCAGGTATGGATTGCCTGGGAGCCTTTGCCATGTTCTCGTCCCTTTTGTCTCCGCCATTTCTTAGCACATCACGAGAGAAGAGGAAGGTTCTAGCCTGTAGACAGTCCTTGGCCACCGCTGCCCAGGCGCATGGGACACTGGAAATCCCACCCAGCTTTGTCATCGGACCAAAGTCTGCTCAGGGAACCCGTCCGCGAAGACGGCAGTCCGGACCAGAGGTGCATCGCTGAAGCCGTTCCAGGACCTTGGGCCGCGATCAAAGCGATCATCCTAGAAGGTTAAATCAGCCCGTGTCCCGTGTGAGCCGCATGGCCCCCCTTCTCCCCCTTTCACGTTTGGGATGCATCGGAGGTGGTGTGAGATTCCCAGCTCGAGGCCACATCCTGCCTCCCGCTTCCCATCTGTTGTCTGCCGTCTGTTTCTATGCGGAGTAAGTTTGACTCTCGGGCATGGATTGGACGAGGCCAGCCAACTCGACGTGGGGAACTTGAGTGTTGGCTGAAATCGATTCCGCGTTTGGGTTGGAGTCGCTCATGGACACTGATGTAATATTGTGCAACTGCCGCGACTGGAAGACCATAGGATTCCAGATCAGCCGCGACGGATAGTCTGGCTTACCCTTTGCCGCCGGGTGATTCAAGTAAAGGCCAGTTGTCTGGCTTTTGGTGTGGACCGCATTTGAGAGCGGCGTCCGCTGGTCAGAACGGCGCGCGAGAGTCTTACAACGTCCCACTCATCTCGAGCTCGGCATCAAATGGGTTCCGTCAGCGCCGTGAATGCAGCATTGCAGGTGACTGGTTGGGTGCCTTGCTAGCCCCGCCGTTCCCCGTCCTACCTCCGAATGGACATGTCGAAGCCCCCGAACGCCCGACTGCGCATCCGTCCACTTTCTACCCTTTCCCCAATTGCGATGCAGCCACACGCTGATTGCTAGTGGGCGCCCCTTTACCACAGTAGGAGGTCAGGAAGGCTCAATGGCCCCCGTGTGGGACCTTGCTCGCAGGCCACCTTGGCTGACTGGTCAGTGACAGCCAGAGGGGAGATGAAGCTAGCAGACTACCGTCAGTGTTGGCCGATGCAGGCCTGGCGTGGCCGCTCAGGCAGGTGCTTTGAGAGGGAAACTCCACAGGGAATATCCTGATACAGTGACAAGACCTGCCGAGGTTGACGACGTCGGTGTTCCCTGTTTGATGTGCGTAGTTCATTCTAGCATTGTCTTCCATCCGTCGCATAAGAAGAACACGGACAGATCTGTGAGCAGAGGCGATCCCAGAAGAGGTTGCCAAGAACAGGCGGAAAGAAGGTCGACCCTGTCGAGATGCGCCTGAGGAGCGTTGAGTGACCGGCTGTGTGCCTCCGTAGCGGGCTATAAATTTGTTTCATGGTTCCATTCCCAGGTGGCCAGGACGGGATTGATGGAGGGGGTGAGATCCGGACGGGATTGCCTTTTCGCGGGTCTCTGGCCTTGTCCTTTCAGCCTCAAGTTTGCAGCCCAAGGCCGGGTTTGCGTGTGCGTTTGTGTGTGAGTTTTCTCGTTTGCCATGCCATTGATGTGGATACGTCGCTGCCTCGCGTCCATTTGATCGCAATCTCCTGCCGAGTAAGTCGAGATTGTTTGGTGAGGCAGTGTTTCTCTGGAACTGTAACTTGAGCCCTTGACGTGACAGACGAAAAAAGCTTGGCTCAGGTGAGGAGCAGTAGCAGCAGACTTGCTTAAACGCGCATCTCAATCCCGCATGCCTAACAGGCCCTAGTGCCATAGGCGCAAAGATTCGCGATCCGTCCGGGCCCCAGTGGGTACGATGCAACCCTGAGACCCATCCCGCACCCACTGCCATCAATTTGGGGGCCCGGCGGACGGAGCGTCGTCGCTTGCTATTTGAGGCGCGAGAGAGATGGAATATGGGGCACACTGGCAAGTCTGGGCAAGTGAGCCCGGGTTGGCCATCGGCGGCTCGTAATGAGGCGTCGAATTCCGGGCTCCGCCAGCCATCAAGACAAGACTTGGATGGCCCCTCTGGGGGTCCTTTGCGCGCTTTCCCCTGGCTCACACATTCTTGGCCAATTTCTCCTCCTGGGCAGCCAAGTATGGGTCGTTATGAGAACCAGCAAGTCTAATTTCTGGCAAGAAGCGAAAGCCCACGCCTGGAACGGCCCCCCTTTTTGGGTCCCCTGTTGGGACGGAGGGAAATGGGGACACAGAAATGGGACAGGATGACGACGATTGCTGTAACAAACGCGCACGAGTGCTCAGCCTCAGAAGCAGCTGTAAGTGACAGGGGAAAACACTATGATACAGCAAATTGGTTTGGTTGATCCCAGACCACTGGCTCGCCATGGCCCATTCTGGTTGTCTTGTTGTCGCCCCGCGGTTGGGATCCGCCCGGTTGCGACGAGGAATGATAACTGGAGCTCATCCGAATGAACCAGTCACCTGGAGCGGTTGCCCTTTGAGATCAGCCTGCCCGCTGTCAGCGCGAGGTGTGTAGCGCTGCCAGCACACAACGTTGGTGGCTGGTTGGGTTCAGTCTGTGGTTGGTGTCAGTCAGCAGTGGCTGGGCTGCGCAGCCATGTAAGGTATCCATTCCTTTCCCCCCCTTCCCTTTCTCTTCTCCAGTATCCCACTGACCCCTCGTCCCTCTTCCAAGTGGCGAGAGCGCAAGCGGCGGACGGAAAGGGAGAAGCTTAAAGGGTAGGAAACGAAAGTCATGCTACGCAGGCACGGAAGCCGGCGCAGGAAAGCGCTAAGCAAAGCGCAGACGGATTCGGCTGCAGGATTTGAGGGTGGGTTATGGGTGCTTAGTAGTGACGGGCTGAAAGAGAAGTGCTTGGAGATGAAGGTGAATTTGGGTTGGGTCGGATCTGGATCGATTGGACGAGCGATCATCACGTCGCATACCTGCCACTTGGTGCCCTTCCGCTTTTCAATTGAATCCTTACCCACTCGCTGGAAGTCATTAGCGTACAGGAGAACGGCCAAGGTTCCAGGTTCCTATTCACAGAGCCTTACTCAAGGCGCGTATGTGCGAATTGCTCGAGGATTTGCTGACGAAGCAGGCAGTCATTCGGGGAATACCTAGGAGAGGGAAAGGAGCTGTGTGGCTGGCGGGAAGGCACTTGGAATGCGACGGGAGCATAGGTACGTACCCGGAGTTTACGGCGGAACATAAATTGCTAGCATCTGCTTACATAGCACATGTCCGTGGTACCTTACCCCCGCGGCAACCCGGCAGAGTACCTTGGTGTTTGCGCTCAAGGCTTGGGATTGATGCGTGACGAACCGGACCTGGGCTCACCGGCGCTGGTTTGACAGTAAGACGTTGCATTGCCAGGTCGAGGGCCACGGCCACGGTCCGTTCTGTGCTCGTTTGGCCTGGTGTTCTCCTGTTTGTGCTTGGTCCTGATGAACCACAGCCCGTCATCAAGCAGCCTCCTGATTGGGGGGTGTTGGAGCTAAAGGTAAACAAGGCAAGGCTTTGTGATGTGAAGACAGCGGCGGTTCTCACATCTTCACTGGCTGTCCAAGTTTGGATGATGGCTGGGGTACAGAAGTGCTGGGGGAGAGTTGCTTTGCTGTACGTCCCTCTCTCTCATGCACACCTCGCGTTTTGTCTCCTAAATCAACCAAAACACAGAACTTGGAAAAAGAGAATTTGGGAACCGCACACCAGAGACTGGTCGCAGGATTTGTTGCAGGGGAGGTGGAAATCTCTCTGGAGCCGATGCTAGCGCAAGGAGGAAACATGGGCAGAGAGTATCATTGCTTCATGTCGGGCTCCATGCTTGCCGCTCTCGAATCTCCTGTCGCCGTGGTAGCGAAAATGAGGGACAGGACTGGGTCATTGAGGCCACAGGCGGGCGTGACATTGGACGTTGGACAATCGGGTTGATTACCAATTGCGCGCATCCATCAGGATGATTCACCCACCGAAGGGGTTAGTGCGCAATGTTGCATTTGTACTGACGGGGCCTGTACTATGGAAGTGTGAAGCCTCCGCGTGCGAGCCCACAGACGACCGGCAAGTGCAAGGGTAGCTGGTTGTTGATTGTTCGCGAGTTGGGATTCGACTGCCAGGCGAATGCGTGACGGCATGGTTTGCTGTAGCGGCCTCTAAGCGGGAACCGCTCTTTTGCTCGTCAAGCAGATATGGGATTTGCTGTTCGCTACACGTCCCAGCCTCGAAAAGGTATGCTAGCCCAGTCCATTGCTGATGGGGTGTAGAGTCGGGCGTGGAGTCTTATTAGCCCCCGGGCCATCCGGGCGGGCACCCACTCGACGATTCCACTGGTCGTACATAGTATCCCCCGTTGTACCTGAGGCCCATGAACTTGCGGAGTGGATGGTGTGCGTCAGTGACGCGAGTGACCACGCAACAGTGGAAAAGAGACCTTGAATTCGCCGTCTGTCCCGTCTGTCCCGTCTGATTTTTACGGAGGAGTGCGGAGATCCCAGGTGCTGCCTGCTGTTCCGCCGTTGGTGTTGCTGGTCTCGCTGCGCATCTGGCATCTGTTACAACACCCTATCAGCAGAAGAAAAGAAGAAAAAAAAGGTGTGAGAGAGGTGGGACTGGCCGGCCGACACGGCACGACAGGCACGACGGGCACGCGCTTCGGCTGCATCGCTGTGCTCCTTGCTCAGTCTTCTTTTTTCTTCCCCATCCGTCCTGCTCGCTCGTCCTCGTCCTTGACCGGCGTCCCTGCTTCTCCCTTTTCTGCTCCTTCCGCCATCCATCCTCCCTCTCTCGTTTTCCCCCCTCGCCCTCCGACTTGGCCTCCGAGTCCCTGGTAATTCTGCTGAGGCGCGGTGCCTTGACACGAATCCGAGAAACTCTTTGCCCATATCTCCGGGCCTCGACCTTAGACTGAGTCCCCATAGCCCAGACGCCGCGCAGAGAAGAAAAAGCACGATACAAGGGCAATTAGAGACAGTACATGCTCTGCCGTGTTCGAGGTCCGTACCCGGCTAGGTTGTTTTGGCTGCAGTCCCCCACTCCAACGGTAGGGCGAGGTACTTCGACCGCCGTGCTCCCTCTAGGTATCCCCGATACGTACCGCGCAGGCTTACATTTCTTACCCCCTGCGCCATTGCACGGAGGGTGAGATACATGAGGTACTTTATCCAAGCTCGGATAACTTGTCTCTGATCTTCCCTTCTCTCGTCTCTCCCCCGAAGAGCCTGGTGGACGAAGCACCTCTTCATCCGCTCTGCTGCACACACGCACCCACAAACAGACACGCACACACACACACACACGCGCTCGCTGCGCCCGACTTGCTCCCAGGCACTCCGCTGAAGGGCGACTCGAGGTACCTTGCCTTCCTACCCCCGGGTAGTTCACAAAGTACCTACCTTCATCGTCCAGTACCTAGCACCCAGAACCCAGCGACGGACACTCCCCCCCTCCCAGCGGGTTTTTGGGTAACGCTGTCATCAAACACCGCGACAGCGCCTCCCGGCCCCTTCAGCCAAAATAATTCTTGCCCCCCCTTCCGACCACTCCCTTCCAATTCTGTTACTCCCTCGCACGAACCACACCTTCCCAACCAACACCACAACACAAACCTCGGACGGCCATCGACGACGACATTACGCTGAACGCCCACGGTCACTCGTTTCCCCTCTGACAACCCGCTCGACGACAACCCGCTCTATTTCGCCTTTTTGCATTCGAGTTCGCCGCCGCTGGATCGTTCAACAAGCAACACGTCGTCCCTTTCCCATCCGGGACCACTGTTGCGGCCGGACGAGGCCATCCTGGAGGACCACTCGGGTTGATCGGGCTGCTCGCCCGCACACCAAGAGATCACGATGGCGCCCACGAACGAACAAGGGCCCGACGCCGCTCTCGATCCTGCTAATGGCCCTGCCAACGGCCCTGCCAACGACCCTGCCAATGACCCTGCCAATGACCGCGAGAATCCCACGCTGCGGACAAGATGGGCCACTCGCAAAATGACGATAAAGAGCAGCAATAAGAAGAGGCTCTCCCTCATGCATCGCGCCACCCACAAGAAGAATAACAGCGAAAAGAGCCGTAGCTCCGGCGGCTCTGAATCCCTACAGACAGAAAACAACACCGCCCAACCCGATCCCGAAGAAAGCAATGGCGGCAGGAAAGTCTACTTCAACCTCCCTTTGCCCCCAGAACTTCTGGATGAGGACGGCCACCCGAGCCAGCACTTTCCGAGGAACAAGATCCGGACCGCCAAGTACACGCCCCTTAGTTTCGTACCAAAGAACCTGTGGTTTCAGTTCCAGAATATTGCCAACATATTCTTCCTTTTCCTCGTCATCCTGGTGGTAAGTCGGACTCGAGGTGCGCCCCCCCAAGCTTATTGAACCCAATTCCAACCCTCGGCAGTTCTTTCCCATCTTTGGTGGCACAAATCCGGGCCTCAACTCTGTGCCCCTAATTTTTATCGTTGTCGTCACAGCAATCAAAGACGCCGTCGAAGATTATCGCCGCACTATTCTTGATATTGAGCTGAATAATGCTCCCGTTCATCGCCTGCGGAGCTGGAACAACGTCAATGTCGAGGAGGACAACGTCTCCCTCTGGAGACGTATCAAGAAGGCCAACACTCGCTTCTTTGGCCTGATTTGGCACGCAATCGAGAGTGTCTGGTCGAAGAAGGCGAGGCGAGAGTTTGCAATGCGCAAGAACCCCCAATCCGCAGACGCGCCACGGCCTTCGATAGAAACCCACGTCGGACCGCGTGATTCCTTCGCTTCGCCGCGTTCCGGTCGCGACTCGTTCGTATCCGCGCGCGAGGATATCCAAATGACGCCAGTCCCGTCTCCGTTGCCCCGCCAAACCCTCGAAGTGCCTCAGACAGACGACCACAAACGAGCGAGAGAGTTGATGCAGCGCAAGGGAGATGTGCTGAACCGCAACCTGCCGAGCAAGGGTGAAGCCCGGTTCCACAAGGATCACTGGAAAGACCTTCGGGTCGGCGACTTTGTTCGTATTTACAACGACGATGAGCTTCCCGCCGATATCATTATTTTGTCCACATCCGACCCCGACGGAGCATGCTATGTAGAGACGAAGAATTTGGATGGTGAGACGAATTTGAAAGTGCGACAGGCCCTCAGGTGCGGCAGGTCGTTGAAGCACGCAAGGGACTGCGAGAGAGCGCAGTTCTGGATCGAAAGCGAACCCCCGCAGCCCAACCTTTACAAGTATAACGGTGCTATCAGATGGTATCAGTCCTTCGACGACGAGGCGGAACCCGAATTGATGACCGAGCCTATCACCATTGACAACATGCTTCTCCGTGGATGCAACCTTAGGAACACGGATTGGGCCCTAGGTGTGGTTGCCTTTACCGGGCACGACACGAAGATCATGATCAACTCTGGCATCACACCCAGCAAGCGTGCTCGAATTGCTCGGGAGATGAACTTTAACGTCATCTACAACTTCGGTATTCTATTCATCCTGTGTGTTTTATCGGCCATCATCAACGGTGTTGCGTGGGCGAAGACAGATGCTTCATTGCACTTCTTCGACTTCGGGTCTATAGGAGGTACGGCACCCATATCCGGCTTTATCACCTTCTGGGCGGCCATCATCGTCTTCCAGAACTTGATTCCCATTGCGCTTTACATCAGCCTCGAAATCGTCAGACTACTTCAGGCAATTTTCATCTACAGCGATGTTGAGATGTACTACGAGCCGCTCGATCAGCCTTGCATCCCCAAGTCTTGGAATATTTCCGATGACCTAGGCCAGATCGAATATATTTTCTCCGACAAGACAGGCACATTGACTCAAAATGTGATGGAGTTCAAGAAAGCGACCATTAACGGGCAGCCGTACGGCGAAGCTTATACGGAGGCACAGGCTGGCATGCAGAAGCGACTGGGTGTTGACGTCGAGAAGGAGGCTGCCGAGGCTAGGGCCGAAATTGCAGACGCCAAACTGCGCGCGCTTGATAGTCTTCGAAATCTTCACGATAACCCCTACCTCCACGACGATGATCTAACGTTCATCGCTCCCGACTATGTTTCCGACCTGGCGGGCGACTCTGGCAAAGAGCAACAAATAGCAAACGAGCATTTCATGCTTTGTCTTGCTCTTTGCCATACAGTCATCCCGGAGAAGGTGCCTGGCTCACCGCCGAAGATGATCTTCAAGGCGCAGTCACCCGACGAGGCGGCGCTCGTTGCAACGGCCCGCGATATGGGCTTCACAGTACTCGGCAGCTCCCAGGAGGGTATCAACCTGAACGTTATGGGCGAGGATCGCTTTTATCCTATTCTGAACACCATCGAGTTCAACTCAAGCAGAAAACGAATGAGCGCGATTGTACGGATGCCCGACGACCGTATCCTCCTTATCTGCAAGGGAGCAGACAGCATCATCTACTCGCGTCTCAAGCGCGGTGAGCAGCAAGAACTCCGCAAGGTCACCGCCGAGCACCTTGAGATGTTTGCTCGTGAAGGCTTGAGAACGCTTTGCATTGCTCAGCGCGAACTCACCGAGCAGCAATACCAGGCTTGGCGCAAAGAGTATGACGCCGCTGCCTCGGCTGTGGAACATCGAGAGGAGAAGATGGAGGAGGTTGCCGACCATCTCGAACGCGAGCTGACCCTGCTCGGAGGAACCGCCATTGAGGACAGACTACAAGATGGTGTGCCAGACACCATTGCTCTACTCGGTGATGCCGGTATCAAGCTCTGGGTCCTCACTGGTGACAAAGTTGAGACGGCTATCAACATCGGATTCTCTTGCAACCTGCTGAACAACGACATGGAACTCATCCATCTGAAGGTTGATGAAGATGAGACGGGCGAAACTCCTGATGATCATTTCCTCAACGTCCTGGAGCAGGAACTGGACAGATACCTTCAGGACTTTGGCATGAAGGGTGACGACGCCGATTTGGCAAAGGCTAAGAAGAACCACGAACCACCTGGCCCGACACATGGTCTTGTTATCGACGGCTTCTCTCTCAAGTGGGTTCTTCATGACGCCCTGAAGCAAAAGTTTCTCCTTCTTTGCAAGCAGTGCAAGTCAGTCCTCTGCTGTCGTGTCAGCCCTGCTCAAAAAGCTGCCGTGGTGTCCATGGTGAAGAACGGCCTCGATGTCATGACCCTCTCCATTGGAGACGGTGCTAACGACGTCGCCATGATCCAAGAGGCGGACGTCGGTGTCGGTATTGCCGGTGAGGAAGGTCGCCAAGCCGTCATGTCGTCAGACTATGCAATCGCTCAGTTCCGGTTCCTCTCGCGGCTGGTCCTTGTTCATGGTCGGTGGTCATACCGCCGTCTCGGAGAGACCGTTGCCAACTTCTTCTACAAGAACGTGGTCTGGGTGTTTGGTATCTTCTGGTACCAAATCTACTGCGACTTCGATGTTACATACATCTACGAGTACACCTACATTCTTCTGTTCAACGTTCTCTTTACTTCGGTCCCGGTCGTTGTTATGGGTGTTTTGGACCAGGACGTTTCGGACAAGGTCTCACTCGCAGTGCCTCAGCTGTACCGCCGGGGTATTGAGCGAGCGGAGTGGACGCAGACCAAGTTCTGGTAAGTTTGGTCACTGTTGTGGCCTTTGACGCGATGCTAATCTGTCTACAGGCTTTATATGCTTGACGGCGTCTACCAATCCGTAATGGTTTTCTACATTCCGTACTTAACTGTGGTTAGCACGAGCTTCGTGACCAAGAACGGCTTGAACATCGAAGATAGAACACGACTCGGCGCCTACATTGCGCACCCTGCCGTTTTCGTCATTAACGCCTACATTCTCATCAACACGTACCGGTGGGACTGGATCATGATCTTGATCGTCGTCCTGAGCGACCTCATGATCTTTATCGTGACCGGAATCTACACGAGTATGGAAGGATCCATGTTCTTCTACCAAGCCGCGCCGCAAGTATACGCCCAGGCGTCATTTTGGGCCGTCTTCTTTATTGTACCCGTTATCAGCCTTTTCCCCCGGTTCGCGATTAAGGCGATTCAAAAGGTGTACTTCCCTTACGATATCGACATCATCCGCGAACAAGAGCGGCAAGGCAAATTCTCTCGCCTCACCCAGGGCGACGAGGGGACGGTCATTGGGGAGCAGGAGGCGAGCAAGACACCGTCAAACTCGTCGGACAGCTCGCGCAAGGGTAAGCATATGCACTATGCCAGTGTGGATGAGGACAGAAGGCCAATCTATCCACCTTCAGTTGCAACACACACGACGCACAACCCGCGCAGCCAAAACGGCAGCGATGGCACCAATTACACGGGCCATCGCCAATCGATGGACATGGCGCACACACAGTCCCTCGACATGACCCCTCCGATGCGATCCTCCTTCGACCGACCCCGTCCCTCCTACGATCGAGCCAGACCTTCCTACGACCGAATACGAGCATCGATGGACCGCACCAGAGCAAGTTTTGAGGCCAGCAACGACTTTACATCTGCTGCTCGTCTCTCTCGAATAGAGTCTAGCCAGTCCTACAGCGACCGATTCCATCCTCGAAGACTACGAGGTCTATCATTGACGAAGAGCGCCAACATTTAGCGACCGCTCCGTCGCACGATCGACTCGAATTCTCCTTGTATTATATCCCGCCTCGCCCTCGAGACAGGGCTTGTTTCTTTTTTGCTGTTTTGTTGATATCCCCCGATGCATCACGATCTGCATGAGCGATCTACGACATTCCTCCCCTCGCGTACCTGCGACACTCGATGCTTTGTCACCCTCACCCTCCTGTTTACTTCTCTTTCGGTCACGCAGGTTTCTTTTTCCTCCTCTTTTTGGTCTTTTTATCGTATAGGGTCTCCTACTGCGACGGCGTTCACGGAAGCAAAGGAATGGAAGACTCGGACGGCATTTTTCGTGCAAGTTTTGGTGTGCATCCTAGAATCGAGAGGGGGCGCCAGGAACCAGTCCATGCTGAAGGTGCTGGAATCTCTCCTTAGGGCTCCAGGGGCGTTGTGGCTCAGTGGGCCAAACAAACTGATGGCGCACGGCATCCGTGCTGGTGATGCCTTTTTCTTGTACATAGGCGCGAACAGGAGGAGGAGGAGAAATACGTGAAAACCAAAACATAATAGGAGGGAGGGTGGGTAGCTTGGAGATGAGCAGGGGAGACAGAAGCCAACCGTTGTTTGAACTGTTAACAGGACATCCATCCGCGACCTTGGTGACCAAAAGTGAATTTAAAGTGAATTCAACCTTGCATCAGCCCAGCAAATTGAATAGTTGAAGATCAACTATCATACATAGTAGCTAAAGTACTGTCATGAATCCAGGCATTGGTGTTGATGATGGTGATTCCCCGCTTACCACGCAGGTACCATCTCCGTGATCGTAGCCCCCTGCATCGCCACTTGGCCCCTGCCAAATGCCAATCCACAGTAGGCAGGGGCAAGCTTCCCCGAGCTCTGCTGATTTCTGGCCAAGAACATGCGATGCCTCGCGACTTCACGGATCCGCTTGGAGAGGCCCTCTCTTCGCAAGAGTAAAATCGCGACTGTGGCCTCCGAGGACGTCCTCGCAACGACTCGTCGCAACCCCCCCCTTACCTGAACGTCAATTGGGCTCAGGTTGACGCCAAGAATGGACACGCAACTCTTTGACGAGGTTGCCGAGAGGCTCAACTCGTATATCGAAGCCATCCCGTACGCCACAGCACGCCAAATGGCACCACTTCTGAATTACGAAAGCCAAAGCTAACTCGACGCGTTGGTGACAGACCCGGCTTTCCCCAGTACATCTTCGCTGCCGTCGCTGTTGCCTTCAGTATCTGTCTCCTGCTGTTGGCGCAGGCATGGAACGAAGACAAAGCCGTCCCCTACACCGTCCCGCCGCCGAAGATTCCGGATGAGCACTCGGTCGTCGAGGAGACCACCATCAAGGTACGGCACACCAAGCACAGCGGGTGTTCCTGATGACTGACGCAAGCTCCTTTCATTCAGATCTCCGGCACGACCGCAGTTCAATGCTACGCCCCCGCTACCGGCCAATTCCTCGGTTTCATCAACCCCTCTACACCGGCGTCCATCGACCGCGCTGTCGACGCTGCCCACGCAGCGCAGGCGAAATGGAAGAAGACGACCTTCCGCGAGCGTCGTCGCGTGCTGCGCACGATGCTACAACATGTCCTCGACAATCAGGATGCCATCTGCCGCGCCGCCTGCCTCGACTCCGGCAAGACCATGGTCGACGCCCAGCTGGGCGAGATCCTCGTCACCGTCGAGAAGCTTACCTGGACGTTGAATCATGGCGAGAAGGTCCTCCGCCCAAGCCCGCGGCCCACAAACCTCCTGATGGCATACAAAAAGAACGAGGTGCGGTACGAACCGCTTGGCGTGGTTGGGGCGCTGGTGAGCTGGAACTACCCGTTCCACAACCTCATTGGGCCCATCATTTCGAGTATCTTTGCTGGAAACGGTGTCCTGGTCAAGGTCTCTGAACAGACAGCGTGGAGCTCGCAATACTTCACCAGTATCGCAAGAGGCGCCCTCATCGCTCACGGACACGACCCCGCCTTGATCCAGACGGTGGTATGCTGGCCCCAGACGGCAAACCACATAACCTCCCACCCCAAGATCTCTCACCTGACCTTTATCGGTTCCCGCCCCGTGTGCTTGAAGGTTGCTGCATCGGCAGCCAAGTCGCTCACGCCTCTCATTGCCGAGCTTGGCGGCAAGGATCCTTCTATTATTCTCGACTCTGCCGCTAAGGACCTGAACCGCATTGTTGAGATTCTTATGCGCGGAACGTTCCAGGCTTCCGGACAGAACTGTATTGGCATCGAGCGAATCATTGCTACCCCGAAGCTCTACGAAAAGCTGGTTTCCACACTCGCACCGAAAGTCCAGGCCCTCCGCCTGGGTCCTACTGCAGATGTCGGAGCCATGGTCTCGGATGCTGCCTTTGACCGACTCGAGGCCCTCGTCGACAAGGCAGTCAAGCAGGGTGCTCGTCTCCTGGCCGGCGGTAGGCGCCACATTCACTCCGAATATCCCAAGGGGCACTACTTTACACCAACGCTTCTCGTCGATGTTACCCCTGACATGGAGATCGCCAACGAAGAATGCTTCGGTCCCGTCATGACCATTATGCGCGCCCCAGGCCCAGATGCCGAGTCCGTATTGTCCGTAGCCAACGCCCCAGATTTTGGTCTTGGTGCTTCCATCTTCGGCGGCGACAACGACCCCGTGCTTCGCGCCGTCGTCGGTGGCCTCAAGACCGGAATGGTAGCGGTCAACGACTTTGGCGCAACCTACGCCGTGCAGCTGCCGTTTGGTGGCGTCGGCGGCTCCGGCTACGGACGCTTTGCGGGCGAGGAGGGACTTAGAGGCCTCTGTAACATCAAGAGCATCTGTGTAGACCGCTTTGGTTGGCTGGGTGTTCGCACCTCCATCCCGCCGCCTGTGAAATATCCCGTACCGGATCAGGAGCGTAGTTGGCGATTCACGAGGGGTGTTGTCAATGTTGGTTACGCGCAGGGTCTTGTGGGGAAGCTCAAGGGGATTCTCGACATTGCGAAGAACGCCTAGTTCGATGGCTGGGGAGTACGGAATACAGGGGCTACGTAATAATATGTATAGGGTATTGAGGTGGCGAACTAGAAGCATAGGCAGAGGGGTAATCAAAAGCATCCTGACTTTCTTCAAAAGGTTCTTGACTGCCTTCTTACGGCCGACACGATCCCTTCTGGCTTTGCCGGATCCCCCATCCCCAGCTTTGGAACTCGTTCCGCAGTTCCACGTTCCCGAAAAAAGTTGTCGAGGGGCGACGGTTTGTGCCTTCTTCCCCACCTCAGCTCCTTGACGAAGCTCTTGGTGTACCCCCTCCTCCACTCGCACCGAGCTCGTGGCCGATATATATTGCCGCAAATGGTGGGGCAAGCGAGAGCACGCGCTGGGGGACGTGGACGCTCTTCGGTCGACGTGCCTGCTTCCCTTTCGGTCCCGGCACATTCGTGTCCTAGGAGGCCCCAGCTGAGGCCAGCGCGGGGCGGTGTAGCTTGGCCATAATAGGGGATATAAGCTAGAGACGGCGGCGTCGGTACGTTGAGGTATAAGTCATGATGTATCTGCCGTCGACCAAGTAGACCCTCGGGATTAGTCTGACGATGACAGCGTTTTAAATTTGGTTAGGTTCTTCGATGGTGGCGCTCAATTCAACTTTTAAAGGCGTCGGTACCATCGCGATAAGTTTCGACAATGATGTAAGATGTAGGCTGACATTCGTAACAGCATCAAGCACAAGGTGAGTGGTAAAGGCATTGTATCAAGAGGGATATGATTCATTAGCTGCAGCCCTATTCCATTTTGGCAACTCCATCAAAGCATTCCGAATAGACCGCCCCAATTCTTCTCATGTGTCCTCTGTATCATCGACACGCCGCGACGTCACCCAAGGCTCGCTGGAAAATGCAGAAGGTATATCTAATCACCAAGCATTACCACCAACAGATGCGCCCCAGGCAGCAGTGGCCTCGGGCTCTTCCTTCTTGCTCTCGTCGCCGACATCATCGCCAGCGCCGCCCCAAGCAGCATCGCCGCCGCCGCCGCCGCCCCAAGAACCATCAGCGGCAGCAGCAGCAGCATCATCGCCGCCGCCATAGCCCTTGTTAGACCAACCTCCATCGCCGCCGGAGACGCCAAGGTGGGCAACTCCAGCCTCCTCGGGGTCGAAATCGCTCTCAGTCTCAAACTTGAGATTCTCCAAGCCCTTGCCAGTAGGCTTGTAGGGCTCAAGGAACTCGGGAACATCTTGCTTGGTCTCCATGAGGGTTCGAACGAGAACACTGGCAATAGGCTCGTCACGCTCGGTGTAGAACGAGGTAGCAATACCCCGCTGACCCATGCGACCGGTGCGACCTTTATAGATGTTAGCGTTGTGCAAAGTGAACAATCAGAGAGGGACAGAGATTCTTACCGATTCGGTGGGTATACTCCTCGATCCCACCATGGTCCATGCTTGGGAGATCGTAGTTGATGACATGGTTCACGTTCTTCACATCGATGCCACGAGCGCTGATGCCGGTGGCGATCAGGATGGGGGACTTTCCGGCACGGAAAGCGCGCATGGAAGCCTCGCGCTCGAGCTGAGTGCGGTCGCTATGCATGGATGTGCAAGGGAAGCCCAGATTGTACAAGAAGTCATCGAGGTCATCAGCAGTGCGCTTGCTGTTGACAAAGATGATGGTGCGACAAGCGGGCAGCGAGTTGATGTGCTCCTTGAGAGCCGTCTTCTTATCGAAGGGAGCCACCTCGAAAACTCTTTGCATAATGTTGGCGTGGGTGCTGCCGATGCGTCCAATGTTGATGCGAACACTGGAAGTAGAGAGATGCTCCTTGGCAAGATCACGAAGAGGCTTGGGGAAGGTGGCTGAGAAGAGCATGTACTTGATGTTTCCCTCCTGCTGCTCTGTAAAGAACTTAGAATCAGCCCAGAAGACAAGAGACAAGCAAGCATGGATCAGTCTTACCACCACCAGTCATGATGACATCGAACTCCTCGCGCCAGTCATCGTGAAGCATCTCGTCAGCCTCATCGAAAACCATGTATCGCAGGCGGCGAAGCGAGAGAACGTCTGGGCGCTGAATGAAGTCGCACAGGCGACCAGGCGAGGCAATGAGGACATCGCAGCCCTTACCAAGCTGCTGAACCTGATCGCGGATCGGGCCACCACCGTAGGCGACACAAGGACGAAGCATGGTACGATAGCAGAACTTGCGGGCCTCGTTGAAGATCTGGATCGCGAGCTCACGAGTGGGGCAGACAATGACCACCAGAGGCTCAGCGCGAACCCAGGACTGACCAATCTCGACCGAGGCAGGATTGGGGCGAGGAGCGGCCAGCTTCTTGGCCTTGCCCATAAGCTTGTTGAGGATGGGAATGAGGTAGGCGGCGGTCTTGCCGGAACCTGTTCTGCTAGTTGGCCATGATGATCAACTATGATGAGCATGGTGGCAACAAAACTTACCAGTCTGAGCGACAGCGACCACATCGAGGCCTTTGTGGATGGCCGGCAAGGTATACTTCTGAATGGGGGTAGGAGCGTCATATCCGGCAAGCTCCACGTTCTCCATCATGACAGGGTGCAAGCCGGCGTCCTTGTAGTAGTGAACAGGCTCGAGACGGATGGCACCCTCCTGGGTGACCTCAACGGTGGAGATGCTAGAAACTGTGAGTCGAGCCCAGTACATTAAGGCTGAGAAACTTACACCGAGAAATCGAGGCCGGTGTGGTCGCGGCGGGTGTCGGGATCGCCGAAAAGGGCCATCTCAAGCTCCGGGAATTTGGGACCAACATCGCCATACTCATCGTTCCACTCGTAGACAACACCATTGCCCTCCCAGTCAGTGGTCTCAACGGAGCCCTGCTGAGCAAGCTCCTCGTAATTGTAAGGAAGAGGCTTAGCCCACTCCTTGCCCTCGTTGTCGATGGCAACGGCAGGAGCCTTTTGGTCCGAGCCATCGGACAGGAGAGCAGACTGAATGTCGGTGGTCTCAAAGACAGCCATCTTGACTGAGTAAAATCCGCTTGAGTGGCAATGATTAGATTATTTAGAATTGTTGAATGTGATGCCGTGCGTATACTCACTCGAATCGTTTACTCAACGAGACATGCAAATTTCATGAGCGAAGAACGGACTGAACGGGACGAAAGCCTTTGGCTGGCTGCGTGTCCTTGAGTTAGTTGAGTTGGGAAAAGAGAAGCAAGAATAAGAAGGAAAGAGTGGGATATTTGGTGAAGAAAGGTGGAGGAAGCTACAAGCAATGCAAACTGCCATTAAAGTGACAGGTAGGAGGGGAAGAGGAAAAATATTGCCAGGTGCTTAAGGGAGAAGGTCCATTTCACGCGATGCGTAATATTGATACCGCAACGTGAAATGGACCAAACCAGACCAAAATGGACGGTTCAGATAGAAGGAAGGAAGACAAGGGTAGCAGAGCTGGGATAATTTGTGTACCTGAGGACCAGTAGAGAAGAAAACACAAGGGGGAGGAACCTTTTGACGATGCAATCTTTGAGTTCAGTTTTCTCAGAGTTGAGCGGCTCGAGACGGTCGCGCAAAGACGCGTAAGCTGAGGCGATGATGAGATTGGCAGTTGTGAAGAAGAGAGGAATGGGACAGACGAGTATGTAAAGGGGAACGAAGCCGAAGGCACTTACCTCTCAAATCGGAATTCACGATGTCAAAAAGTAACTTCCTGGAGAGATACTTTCTGAAAAATTGCGTTCGGGTGAAGAAGAGGAGAGGAAGAAGTCGAGCTGGGAAGTAGCAGGAGAGATATAAATATGAGGGAGAAGTTTGTGGCTCGGGAGTAGTCAGTCAATCCGAGGAAAGAGCAAGGGCAGCTCAGTGTTCCTTCTTGGAGATAAGGTAGAAGGCATGATAGAACCCGACTGCGTTGGGGCAGGAGCACCTGTCCCGGCTGAGGCAACTGACCATCTTGTGATGTGCCAGAACAAAGCAAACACCCAGTATAGGTTGGTGAGGTGCGAGTATGAACATCAAGGGCTCCTCGCCTACTGAAAGTTTGCAGCACCCACCCTGTGAGTCTCATGCAGCTTTGATCGGGGCCTTGGGAAGAACAGAAGGACGTAGAGGTATCCTTTGTAAATGAATGGAACAGAGTTCTGGGAAGCTTCTTGCTTGGTATTGCTTTGGCGACGTAAGTGAAGCCCGAAAGACCATCTTTCATGCATGAGAGGCAGATACTGGAGGCAGGCAGTTTAAAATTATCTTTACACCTATCCTGTGGGCACTCTATTGTTCACCGAATCTGGAGCACAAGTAAACTTGAGAATAGAGGTCTCACCAAAGTGAGACGGGTATCATTAATGTATCCATCTAGCGATTGCTATAGAGGTCCACGGGCCGGGATTTCCCTGGATGCCTCGCGTAAGTGAGCCTAATACTAGTTTTCCTCGCCAGTCATTCCCCGTATGTATACAGTCTCTCTACGATGAAGAGAGGGCGAGCCTGGCGCTCTCGAAGGCCACTTCTGTCTTGCTAGCCATCGTATTTCCCAGACTGACGGCCGCGGTAGACGTCTGTGCTACGGATCATCTTGACGCCGAGTTTCCACTGTATGCTAGGTGTTGAATCATCTTGATCATATAGAGGAAGACGTTCGGGTGACGATGGCGATGGTCGCCCCTCTACGGTGACGTTGTCTTGCAGGGTCTCAGCGGCATCAGGTTTGTGGATAGTTGCGAGTGAGTGGAGCTCAATACTTCACCACAGGTCGAGAAGGTCTTGGGGCTCGACCGCAGAAGTTGCCTCATATCCTCCCATGCCCTCCACCAGGGCCTGATCCATCTGAACGGCCGATCGTCCGATGGCACCGCCCTCCTTCTTGGCCTGCTCGACGCCGCGGGCGAATGAGTCCATGAACCGCCTGTGGAAAACACGCTGGCGGGACTCGCGGTCATTGTACATCTCGGCTTCCTCGTCTCGGCGGGTTCCGAAAAGGTTGAGGTACGCGAATGGGTTCGGTGTCCGAGGAACGCGATACATGTTGTCGGCGTGAGCATGAGGATTACTCGGCGCGGCGACCTCGGGCTTGAGTCCAGCCTGCAGGAACCTGGCCAGAACGGCTATTTGCCTTGCATGAGACTGGGCGTCTTTCGTCCGCAGACCCGTCTTGGGCGCGGTCGACCACCCGGTGCTCGTCTTGACGGTCCAGCCCATCAGCGCACAGAAGCTGTTCAGCGTCTTCACCCAGCCGCCAGGGCAGCTGACAGTCTCGTCTTCGGCGACATCTAGGAGCCACTCGAGGACGGATAGGGAGTCGTTACTAATGTCGGCGGAGAGGTGGGTCATGCCGGCACGGATGTACATGATACACTTCTCGGCGTGATGCTTGACTTCTGCGTCGGGTAGTGCTTTAAAAAGCTTCAGCAGCTGAGTACGTACCGGTCCTGAAGCATCAGAGACCAGGGGCAGGAGCTTGCTCAACACTGTCGCAGTTCCGACGGGGTTGTTGTCGGCTAACACTTGGCTCGTCAGATGTGCCAACGACTCTTTGCGCTGCTTATCCGCCCGTGACGTGGAGGCCAACGAGAGGTTGTGCTTGAATTGGGTTGCGTTGTCAGGGGCTTCAGTCGAGAGTTTCTGATGGCCCATAGCAATGGACTTTGCTTTGAAACTGGTGTCTGTGAAGTTCGCGGGCTTGACCTTTGTCTTTCCAACCTTGAACTTTGGTTTCTGTAGGGGAGTGTCAGATACGTTGAGACATGAGTGAGAGCTCCTTGATGTGGTTCATCCACACCTCACTGAGATATTCTTACCGCAAAGTCCTTGGCCTTTTCCTTCTTCTTTCTCGTACTGGAACCCATAATGGCTGTCGTCCAGTGATCTGTCGCTTGGAAGGCTTCGTTTTGGATTCTACAAGAGATTCAGGGAGTTTGAATGTCTTGACAAGATTGTCCGGCTATGTCTGCTGCAATAGCAGTGAGTATTCACATGAGATGGCTTGCACATTGAAGGGTCGGACCCCTGTCAGATTGGAAGCCAGAAAATTTTAGCGGTCAGCGTCGGCAGAATTCCACAGACCGAGCTCTCTTGCAGTCCCCACCACGACGTTGGTACGCTGTTACCCGGTGAATCCTAGCTCCAGTTAAGGTACCTTGTGCACTCTGGCTGATCATCCAGCCTTACAGACGAGAGCCGACCCAGCTTTTGGGAACACACACATTTGCCTCGGCGACAAAACGGAGCGTTTCCTTACCCTGACGTCGAACTGCGAATCTTCAATTGCTCGACGACGAGACATACGGATCCCATCTCCCGTCTTTCCTTTCCAAACCCCGCTGGCCAGCAACCATGGCCGACACAATACCCGTGAGAGCGACCTCGAACCCCTCTACAGCGATGGCGTCATAGCTAAACAGGATTGTGCCCCCCTTCGCAGAACAACGGACCCGACGCGCTGGACGAGACCCTCACGCGACTCTCCAAGAAGCCCGGCGTCAAGGCCACAGTCATCCTCGATCGAGCCACGGGCGCGATCCTGCGGACAAGCGGTCAGCTCTCCTCCTTCAACGCGGCGACGCTGGCGACAGGGCAGGGCTCGTTTTCTGGTGAGGGCGCCGCCGGGCAGCAGCAACAACAAAACGGCGAGGAACAACCGCAGGGCCTGGAGGATTTTGCGGCGAAGGTCTGGAACTGGGTTAATGCGTCGGGCACACTCGTGCTGGATCTGGACACCGAGGTGAGAGGAAAATATCCCTTTGACTGCGGTGACGTGTTGAGGGCATGGACCGAGCGCTGATTACGGAGAATAGGACGAGCTGAAGCTACTGAGGCTACGGACAAAGAAACAGGAGCTGGTCATCGTGCCTGACCCGAAATACCTCCTCATCGTGGTACACGACACACCACCGGCTTGAGGAAAGCCCAAAACACAACCCATCATCATGGTTTTGGCTAGCGTTTCACGACTCCTCTTTGCTGGCCTTACCGGGCGAAGGCGCTCCATGCGAATATCCATTATGACGAGCCGGATTGACAAGCGACATGCCCATTGGCCCGCTCTAGAATGAGGATATTTCAAGGTACACTAGGGGAGATTGGAGCCTGCCCAGACTGCAGGTCTGACGCACATACGAACACGTAAAACTTTTTAAGGGGGCATGGTTTGACATGGACGGTCGGGGAGGTGCAAGAAGAATGATACCCTAAGATTACCATCCACCACGTTCACCTAGCGACTAGGTCCGGAATGAAGCCGGAGCGGCCGTTCCGCGGGCCATCGCGTCTGAGGCCGCGGGCGTGCCGCGCAGCTTAAATACAGGACAAAAATATAAGTGCAAACTCAAAAAGGCGGAAATCATCTCGTTTTGCAGGACAGGTTGACTACACTACCCAAAAGCCGTTAAGGTGTAAGCTCTGAGACGCTTCTTGGCCATCCGTCCCCTGCCTCTTCGTAGCAAACGTTTTCGCGCGCCGAGTTACTGTCGCCTGTCTTGGCGTGAAGAGATTTGGCATCATTTAAAGTAGCAGCCGGAACATGAGTTTGATATCATCCAGCGGTTCAGCAGCTCACCGACTCGGAAACATCATGGCGCCGGCGCCGGGAAGCGTGGCGCGATACCGAAGGACGGGAAGTGGGTTGCGGCCAAGCCGGGATGGAGCCGGGATGGAGCCGGGTGGCTTGATGGATGAAATGTTGCAACCCACTCTTGCTTGACTGCGCTTCCCCCTCCACCGCCAGGGACTTTAATTAAAGGCCCTTCCCCTTGAAGAAGAAGAAGAACATCATCACACCCACGTTCGGTCGCGTCGAAGATCCCAACTAGTCGGCAGTCGAAGTCTGTCCGCGCCATTGGCTCGGTCATTCGAAGTGGACGCCAGCAGAAAAAAAAAGCGTGGTGCCGCCACTTTTTCTTCTTCCTCCCGTTAGCCTGACGTTTTGGATTCTTCTTCGACTCGTTTCAGCAGGTTATGGCGAGGTCCTACTGGGGCTATGGAGCACGACTTGAAGCCACTTCACAAAACCCCTGGCTGCCTGGCTTTTTTGGTCTCGTGTAAACTTATCGTAAAGGGAGATTGGGGCTCCTTTAGAGTTTCCTTTAACCTTTTGCTTCCTACTGCGTAGGTGAGGCCGCCTCAACAGCCCGTTTGGTTAGGGCCATGCGGTGTAACCTTCCCATTTGACGTGTCGGTGGGCGGGCTTGGCCTGTTCATCTCAACACTCTGTTAGGTTTGCTAAATGGCCACGCTGGCTATCACCGAATGGTTTCTGGGACTTTTGGGATCTCCAAGACAGTCCTTATGATCCTGTGCGATCGTATGGTGTTTATGACAGCGGGTTATGCTAGTTCAATGTGTATGAAGCTTGGCTTACCCATCCCTTTTCTTCTTCCTCCTTGCCCCAACGACATGAGACGAAGACGTTCGAGAAGGATGGAGAAGTAAGCAGCTCGCGGATTGCGACGTTCGTCAAACTCCATAACATTTCGTCTCATGTCATGGTAGATCAGGCCCCTTGCTGCCCAGTGCTCGTGCTTGGAGCGGAGACCTCACTTACCAAGCCACAGCCGGGGGCCCAGTCCTGTCCATGTCGTGTGCCGCGTGTGTGATTTTCATTGAACCGGAGGCAGCTGTCGTTTGCCGCGTGCGGTAAAGCTTGCCGTTGTCGCCGTTTCGAAAGGTCTTGAAATGGTCCCCTTGGACGAGAGACGGGGGGTCCCTAGTATGCGATTCAGACTTCCGAAACTATCATCAGCTGAGAGCAGAGAAATTTTGCCCAGCATCCCAGTATCCCAATGAGGAACCCGGCCCTGTGATTCCCCCTGTCAGGTATCGTCGCCTTGGCCGAAGTTCAACGTTCGAGAACAACAGCCGAAGCGGAGAGGGGGGGTGGTGATCTTTGATACCTGGGCACCAGGGGCGGCTGGCTTGGTTGACTTGCCGAAGTTGGATGGTTTTCAAGCCACACGCGGCGCCGCCATCTGGGCCCCCTCGGCCCTACCAATTGGTGGCACAATGCATGCTTCGGCGTTCCCCCCCAAAGATGTGCGACGGGCCGGCGAAGATAGTGTTGCTGGTGGCGTTAAGTTCTGCGAAGAACGGTTGGATTACACCCATCTTGTCATTTTGCCCTAACAACCCCTAGGCCGGTCCTTGTTAATTCAACCTCTGCAGGAGCTTCTGCTGGTGTTGTGCTTGCATCCTTTTACCTTCCTGGCAGATACAGATGTTACTTCTGATGAGACACATGGTTTTCTTCTTTCCTTTCCTACCATTTCTTTTCCAGGTCTCTTTCCGTGCGTGTTTTGTCCGGCGGCATCCAATGAGGAGTCTCGAGATGAAAAATTAAAAAGCCAACGATTCCGGTGAGTCTTGAACCTTATAAAGTTATTCATAGCCCATCGCCCAGAGAGGAAATAAGCACAACCTCAAGTAAGCAAACACCAAGAAAGAAGCCCACCGCAGCTGCAACGTGAAATTTCCGACCATCTTACCATCCTTGAGACGGGAGCCACCACAGCACCACCGTAATGTGACATTCTGGCTGCCCACGGAAGTGGAGGAGGAGCTGTCTGGGTTGCGGATCCCTCGAAGTCACCTAATCAGAGATCTCCCCAAAAGCGATACGGAGAGATACCCCTGGTCTGGAGGATTAGCGAGGATCATATGCTGGGGATTTCACATGCGCGCGAGCTGGCTATGCCCTTGACGTTTTCCGATTCTGGTCTGCTGCAGATTTCTAGCTTCATTTCCCGTCCATCTTCTACCGATCTTCCACCGATGGGGTATGTTGCTTCCATGGGTTCTTCAGTTGCTTTCTTCTTGTCCAGAAGCCCCAGGCCCACGAGCAATTTGCAATAAAGATGCAAAGGATCCGAATGTGATGTTTTGTTGCGGCCTGGTGATCGTGGATCCCTTTTCTACCGGGTCTTCGCTGCCAGACTCTCTCCACGCACCTCCCTGCCTGTCATTGGTAATGGGCCCTGCCGGCTACAATGCAAAGCAAACGCAAGACGATGAGCACGGCAGGGTGCGCTGCATCGTCCATGCAGTCTGACATCGGTGATGAGGAAGGGCATAACTTAGGTAGCGCTACACCGGTGAAATGAGCTGTGGCCGTCAAATCAAAAACTGACACTCCCGTCCCTGTGGTCCTCGTGCGACCAACCGAAGCTGCTATGGAACGCTGCCGCCGCCGTCTCCTATTGTTTTCCTGCCCTTCCATGCTTTTACGCATTGCGCTAGCTGCCACGGGAAGGCAGAAAGCCATCACAATGCGGTAACAGGGGGAGGCTCTGTGAACATGGAGCTGGCTTGTACTGTAGCTCTCACGGGATGCATGGCTATGATGAAGTCACGACACAGAGGTTACACGACGAGGGAGAGAGTGGGAGAGAGGGAGTCCATGCCCATACCATGCCTGCAAGGCGTAGAACATCCACATTCACACACCCCTCCCCCCACCCAGTCCACCTTGGCGCGCAGATGACGAACGAACGGAAGCTCCTTGATGGCTTTTTGTTTTGTATTTCTGAGTTTCCCCGTGCTTTTTCTGCTCTCCCGTCTCCCCGACTCTGCTACCTAATTTCCCTACCAGTCTACCTAATCGGCATGAACCGACCAAAAGATCTGAGACTGCCGTGCTGCCCACCCCCTTCTCTGTTCCCAACAACGCAACTTCGGGCCATGGCTCCGGCTCTCTCTTCCTCGCCCCTTCTCCCCAGGCGCAGCTCCAGCTCCTAGGATATGTTTCTATATTCAGATACGTGGAGTAATACAGTCAAGGACGCTCTCTTTCGTGGCAGATGTAGTGTACACGCAAAGCCCCTCCCCTCCCTGGTGCTTGCTTGCTGTATGCGGCCTGTGGCTGGGACGAGGGGTACATCAACAAAGTGGACATGGTCATGGTCCTCGTCTGTCCTATCCCGTCGTGTCTTGCACCGTCAACCGCCCAGTCAGAGGGGTCACTTTTGGTGTGTTGGGCTGGACCCGGGGGGGCCTTTGGGCGTGCTCTCTCTCTCTCGATGGAGTCCAGTGCAGAGGAGGAAGTAAGAAGAGTGGACGATAACAAGAACCAAGTGCCACCCCTGCCTTGGCAGCCATCAGGCGTGTGTCTCTCTTGTTGATTCGCATTCATTTCTTGTTTTAACTTCCCATCGCCTAGCTCTCATTTGTTGTAGACCGCAGCTGCCTCTCTCTCTCTCTCTCTCTCTTTCTTTACCTACAAGTCTTCCCCCCTCCTTCACGTCCATCTTCCTGGTTTTTTCCCTTACTTGCTTGAGTCCCAGCCTATTACCGTTCACTCGTCTTCGCCATCTGCATCTTGCAGCAGCAACAACTTGGCCCAACTTCACGCCCCGTGTTCCCGTTGCAACGTCCGGAAGGTTACCTTGTAGGAACTTGGACTTGCACCGTCCACCATCGTCGGCGATAAGACGTCGGCCACCCCCTCCACCATCCTCCAACGACCGACGCCACTTTTGATCAGCCACCCCGCCAGGCTTGAGAAAGCTTGGAAAGTTGGCGCAAGAGAACAAGATTTCCAGTGGCACCGAGAGAGAGGAATCGCAAGCTTGATAAACGGAGGCAAAAGCGTGGGAAACCAAACACGGACGACACGAACGAATGAGACGAACACGGCGGCAAACCTTCACCCCATCGCAACACCACCAACACCACAAGAGACGACCCAACACCTAAGATGCCGTCCTTGTCACTACTCAGACGAGGGCACAGGCACGACCAGCAACGGCCAAAATCCCCGCCGAAGCAGCAACAGCACCAACCGTCGCAGCTGTCACCACGATACGAGGATGGGAGAGAAGGCAGCCCTCAAGGGCAGCTGCCGGGCTCGTCCGGGCCCGAGGGGACAGGAGAGCGGGAGCGGGAACGCAAGTTCTCCAAACGAGACCTCTTTGGAGGGCTGTTGAGTCGCAGCAAAGGCCGGAGCAGCAGCAGCAGTGCATCGACGCCGGCGTCGTCGACAAAGTCTGGGCGGGGGACCGGTGCCGAGTCACCGACGAAACTTCCTGTCAGTCCAAAGTTCCCTTCACGTCATATATCTACAACATGCGTCGTATTCCCGTTTCCACCGCTTCTTCTTTTGTAATTTGGGTGTTTTGGATCTTCGGCACGTTTATACTTTGTTCGTCGATTTCCACCTTTTTTGTGGTCCTGGCAGTCACCGTTCTCCGTTCCCTCCGTCCCCTCAGGCAAGGTCCATGTAGTAGGCGCATCAGTCTGGTGTCTGGACTCGGCTTCAAGCCCCTCGATACCCCGATGCACCGGTGCTCCGATGTCCTGATGTCCCTGACGACGGAAGCTGAAGATGAGGAAGTCCTCAGAATAGCAGCAGACCTGCTGGGAAGATGCACGCGCAACCTACGCGACTTGCAACATGCAGTCAACGTACCTGCTGCCACCTCAATATGCACATTCAGTACCACCCACACCCCATCATACCTACTGTCACCCCTCGTTCATTCCCTTTCCCTCAGACCAGGTCCGGTCTGGCCGGTGTCTGTGGGTTTGTCTTGGCTAAGGCTGGAAATTCCGTGCACCGCCAGACACAGACAACCCATGGGCAGACCCCCGACACAGGGCAGCAGCTCCCAAGGCGCGTGGTTACCTACCCCCCATGGGCCCCTGCCCGGCCTGATGCTCTGGTGACGGGTCCCGTCCCTTTTCCATTAGGTACCCAAGTGGTGTCCCCTCTTTCTCTTGGCTCTGGCACTGTTTCTGCCCATGGCTTGCTCTTTCAGGCCCTCCCCCGCCCCACCGGGCTGGACCACTATGACCTACCTGGCTGGAGCTGGGACTGGGACTGAGCCGCAGCTGTAAGTCTGCAACACCACCGCATTCCCCTCTCCACCATGTCACTTCCCCGCAGTCATCCTATCCAGTCCATCCATGGGAGCTGCATCAGGCCATTTTGATCTGCCCAGTCCTTTCCTTCTGGCCCATCCCGTGCCATCTCTCCTGCGTGTAGTCTGCTTGCAATCTGTTTGGCAGTGACGTCCTTCCGAGATGCTCAGACTCTGACGATCTACGTCCCGCTGCTCCCTTGCATATCCTTTTTCTTACACCGCGTGACCACCACTTCTCGGAGCTCCAACTTCCACCTTCAACCAACCCCCCCTCGTCCTTGTCTTGTATAGTACAGCTATTTTGTGCCCTGTCTTCGTCGTCTCCTTCATCTCTTGCAAGCCATCCCGTGTTGGGTTTGACGATTTCGAGCTTCCCGAAGCCATTGGAGATAGAGAAAGTCTCTATTTATGCAAACGAAGCAGGCAGTCCTGCCAACCAACCACTTCACCGTTTCTTTACCCGACCGTTCTGCCCAATTGGCTTGATTCTCTTCGTCCGACCGTTCCAAAAGCCGTTGTGTCTTACCAGCAAACCCCAGGTTTCCCCTCCGCAGAGCAGTGCCGAGTCCCGTTCTTCTCGGTCGCCGCCCCCTCTTAACCCCAACAAGCCACTCCCTTCCCCGCCTCCACTCGACAACGAGCAACAAGCCGATGGCCCGGCGCCGAAACCAGTCTTGAAGCTGACCAAGATCATGGCGACTCTCAGCGACGAAGATGTTGAGAAGCTCTTCTCCGGGGCCCCTCAGTACTTTGCTCGCTCCGAAGGCCATTACACCGGTGCCCCGCACCCCTCAGTCGCCTTTCCCTGGGATGAGTCTCTGGAGATCCGCGACCTGAATGACCATGTCCAGATCGAAGATGCCGCCTGGAGCTGCATCACTGCCTGGCCTCACATCACCAGAGACATGAACTCGAACCCCGCTGCCATCAGATGCTCCAAAGAGAGAAAGCGAGCCCATTTCTGCCCGCGATGTCGAGAACGGCCTAATATGCTGAGCATGCAAGGGTTGGAGAAGGGCACTATGGGATACCAGGCTGCTCTCGAGATGCCCGTTGGCGATGCGCTCCAAGAAGAGCAATTCGGCTTCGACAGCCTCGGGTCCAAGGCCAATGTTGTTGTCGAGCAGCGCAAGAGGATGCTGGCTTCCAAAGATGGCCTACGCCGCCTTGAGGAAACGGCCATCTTGGATCAGCTTATCAAGAACAGCGAGAGGTACAAGGAGAACAGTGTCAACAAGAAGATCCACAACACCTTGTACAACGAATTGTTCCTGGGCATTTTGCATCCCCCAACCCGTGTCATCGACCACCACGATCCATACAGTCTTTCCGTGCAAATCCAGGCGCTTGTCAAGGTCCTGGCTGCGCCCAATGTCTGGATTGACTTCTCTCATGTCGAATGGAGAATCCGCTTGGGTCAAATCTTGTGGGGCTCTTTCGAGGGCGACGACCTTGAAACGGAGGTTGACATTGAGGACGCTGAGACTAACGAAGAGCGCAAGGAAGAGAGGTACTGGCTGTTGCTCCAGATCCTCCTCGCATGCGAGCTTCTCATCAGACTAGACGCCATCACGGAGGGTGAAGAGCTTGGCATTGAAAGCATCAGGCCAGCCGAGATCAAACGGTTCGAGAAGGACGCGAATGCGACAGTTAAGTGGTCGTTGCACCTCGCGCGGGCTTGGCTTGAGAACATTGAGATTATCGAGAGGAAGGTCGATCCGACAAGCACCCAAAAGCGCAACTCAGGTGGATGGCTCGCATCTTTGACTGGAAAGATGAGTCTGCACCCCAACAACATCCACGCTCATCCACACGACAGCGTCTCCGTCTACACCATTCAGGGACGCTACAGCGAACGACAGGTCAATGGTTTGACGAATTTTGCGAGGAAACTGCGCTGGCCCGATATTGAATCGGACTCGTACGCCGAGCAGATCTCGGACACGGCCAACAAGGTTTCGGAGGCGACGCCGATACACACACCCGCGGAAACACCAATGAGCATTGATACAAAGAGATCATCCTATTTCGGCGGCGGTCGGGCCGAAGCAAAGGTCACTCGTCATCCACACGGGAAGCATAAGATTTCTGCTGCATTGCACCCTTCAGGTTGGCTGTCAAAATCTTACGTTTCCGGCTTGATGCTACCTGGCGAAGGATTGTATCACTTGATCATGTCCACTCTCTTGGAAAACGATAAGGAGGCGATGGCCAAACTGGGACCAATGGCTAACCTCTGTGGTGGGTTTGTGTATCGTGGAAAGAGTTTCTGGAGTACAGCATGCATTATCGGCCGTGTCCTGGCCGCTGGCCAAGGCTCTGCTCAGTGCATGGGATGGATCTCGAGCGACATTATCCCCCAAGGCCATGGGGACGGCTGGGTCAACATCGATGTTGCCGAAGTACCAGGTTTGTCAGAATCTCAAGCGGTCTCCTTGAATCATGCTAACGGCCTTCCAGAGGACATGAAGAAGACTGGCAAGCAGGCCAGGCTCTGGGGGAAGACCCACGTCGAGCGCGAATCCTGTGTCTTGGGCGACGCGGATCCCAACTCAGTGTTGCCCGCTGACTTTATCATCCCCTACGAGAACAATTATGTCGAGCCGCCCCCCAGTCTGAGCATCTCGTTGCTGTCACTCGACCTGTCCGCCCCGGTGGATTCAGCCCGGTCCACCCCGACAGAAGAGACGGTGATGACTCCGTTCTCTGATGTGACTAGAGCCCCCGAACTCTACACATACCCGTCGTCCATCTCGTTTTCCGTTGGTCCCCTTGGAGGTGAGGCGAAGGAGCACACCTTTGCGCTGACTAAAGACATCCACTTCGTCACGGCTCATCCGTGCCATCCGTCCTCTCATGTCAGAGTCTTGAGGTCGCCATCCAGCCCTACTATTCAGCAAATCGATGTGGACGGCAGCGGCATCGGCGGCCAGGGTTCCAAGCCGGCCACCATCACGGGTAAGACAGATTGCCTTCCTCTTATGCAGCCACATAGACTGACCGCTCCCTAGGACACCCCCTGCACAAGTTCTTCACGTACACCGTCATTCACCTTTCGGAGCTCCTCGAGAAGCCTGACGCCTCGCTGAAGGATCTCCTCGTCAACACGTCATCCGTTCGACGGCCTTCTCTCACCCCCACCCCGAACACCACACCCCGTGTTCTGGTGATTGACTGCATAACCGGCTTCAAGCGTCAGCCGCCCACACAGGAGACGCCCACCTCTCCCATTCTCGAGCGTACAGCCAACGGCGCCAACCTCGCAATGGCGAACATGCACCTCGAGTCGCGGCGTCGGCAGTTTGGTAGCGACATGGAGATTCTAGTCCGGGCCTTTTGTGCGGAGAAGGGCTGGAATGCCATTATCTCGAGGCGCAGACGGGGCTGCCTCGCTTGCGCCATCAGGGAGGCCGGCGCACTGGCCTGGAAGGTCATCATCCGTGTTGACTAGAGTCACATCGCTTCTTTTTTTTACTGTTGTTTCGTTGTGTATATTTAGAGACGATAGACTCATTTGTCTAGGCGTCGAGGATTCGGGAACAAATGCACGGGGTATACATGCCCACGTACACAATATGCATATAAAGCGTTGATTTCTGCGGGACGAATGAGAGACAAGGGAAGGCAACGGGTGTCTGCATTGTTACGTTTTGGGCTGTAGTGCGAGATACCCCCCTGATATAATACGCTGTAATGATGAATATCGCTACTCTGGTCCTCCTTGTGGTGTAATGATGAAACTTGAAAATACGTTGCGTTGCTTCGTGTGTGTGGTCTAGCGAAGGTGTGTCTCGCGTCTTGCCGCATGCCTACGTCTAAGTGATACTCCAAAGTGATGGGACCCAGTTCGAAAAACTGGCAAACAAATCCCCTCCCCTACCCAGCCCAACGCAGAATTGCAAATAAACCCGGAACGATTCTAGGCCGATCCCCAAGGACAAAACCTCCAGACTTTGTTCGGCCTTGAACTGGTATCATACCAAAGGACGCACGCCTCTCGCTTTGGAAATCCAACGACTCGTAGTCAGCCCACATGCTGTAGGCCACAACGCCAATCTGCCTTCAACAGCCCTTTCGCTTAGAGATCGCTGCCTTCGAGCCAGCTCCCGACGCTCCACTCCTTCCAGCCGCGCTTCTCGCCAGGAAGCTCGATGGACTCGTACTCGTCGCGGGTGACGTTCTGCCACTCCTCGAGGGGGATCCAGCCGATGTAGGCGCGGTCGCCGAAGCCGCCGATCCAGTAGACCGAGGTCACGACGAAGCGAACCCACTCGGACTCGTGGACGGGGCTGCCAGGAAGCCAGTACTTGGCGTCCGGGTGCTTGTCGACGAAGCAGTGGGCGAGCTTGAGGGAGGTGACGGGGTCGACGGGGATCTTCTCGAGGTAGCCGAGCAGCGAGAAGCGCGGCAGGTTGGCGGCGGAGTAGGGGACGGTCTCGGGCAGAGCAGCAGCCGCGCCGGCGTCGGGGGAGCCGAAGAGGCGGCTCTTGAGGGAGGAGAAGAGAGAGATGCGCTTCGCGGGGGGGAAGGGCGGGATCCAATGCATGGAGAGGGAAATGTTGGAGCCGGCGCGGACGTTCTTGAAGGACGTGGCGATGGTGATGGCCAGGATCGTGGGGTTGCCGCCCTCCTCGCAGTCGGCGACGTAGTCCATCAGGCCGATGGGCATCCCGGAGATGTCGCCGCCCGAGGCGGAGTGCGCGCCGGCCGGGAAGACGGTTGAGAGCTCGGCCAGCTTGGTCAGCGCGAGAATGCGGCGGCCCATGACGGCGGACTCGTATGAGGTCGGGATGCGGTTCGCGTCGGCATCGGAGGGGGAGGGGTTGGAGAGGAGGTGTTGAGGCATGCCGGGCTCGAGGATGGCGGTAACCGCGGTGGCGGCGAGGCCGGCGAGAAGAGCGGAGGTCTTCATTGTTGAGTATCGAACGGGACGGCTGAAGACTACTGGGGGATCACAAGAGGACGTGGGAGTGGAAGATGGTTGGGATGGTTTGATAGTGGATGCGTGCGAAATTATGTAGCAAGTCCTCACTTGGAATGTATAGTCGGATATGGGTGGGATCGATCGTACGAGCTTTCCGTGGTGCGGAGCGGTCTCGGAAAGGCCAGGAAGAGGGCCAAGAGATTTGGGTGAGCTATTGAGTGCGAGCCCGGCGGAGACGTCTGCTTTGGGGAGGTTTCGTCGGTCGTGGGTGGGATGGTTGAAGAAGACGGGGAGGGGTCTCTCGCTGGATCCGCCAGGGAATACGGGAGAGGGGACAAGCTTGTCAAGCCGAAGGGACAGTCACGACGAGTCGGGGTTCGTAGCGGCAAAGACGGTTGATTTGCAACGGTGGGCTGGCGCTGTCCGGGTTGGTCAGTCAGAAGGTTAGGTTGGGTTACCTCAAGTCGAGTTTAGCAGCACGCGGAGGAGAACGGGCATGTGACGTCTGGGATGAGACGGTTGGAAAGTGGCCCCGGGGTTAGATCTGATAAGCCAAAGGCCGCCTAGCGCCGACACCATCTCTACCCACTCAGGGCCATGCGGGCATGGGCAGGGCGTCCAGGCGCCGCGCCGTATGCGAGGTGAAAGGTCTCCGGCTGCAGGAACTGGGTTGCATGATCATTTCCGCCGGGTGTGAGCAGAGTGGTGGCTCGACGACGACCATGGCGTAAGGTGAAAAATCCAGATGAACGCCCTTCTGGGTGCTGGTTAACAATGTCTTGTGTGCCCAATGTCTGGTGTCACCCACCGCCGCCTATCGGCTTATCTGGTAGGGGGTACAGTGTGCAGTGCCGCTTATTGTCGCCCGAGGCTAGGTATCTCATGGAAACTGTGTGTTGGATTTTCCAGTGGGGTACACCGGCCTCGGGGTACTTGATAAGATGGGGGGAGGTGCCTAGTTGCGCTGGAATATCGCTGGAAAGAGGTACTGCTACAAAAAGGGTCTTTCACCTTGGCAAATTCTGATTGGCGCGCGCGAAGTGTCTGTTGGCACCTCACACGAAAGGCGCAACTCACCAACATCAAAGACATACTCAGTGCTGACACAGCGTACCTATTGGAGGTGCTAGCCCTTGATCTGAGCAATACTCACAACGACTAACAAGCCGCGCATTTCCGATCCCAAAAACCAAGCCTATAGAAGGGGCTGCGTTCCGTTTTCAAGAACTTGTTCACCCTTCGAGGGAACCAGCCGGCACTCAAACACAACAAAGGGCACGGTGTCTCACTCATCGCCCCGCTGAAAATTCACTCCAGTCCCTGAGGGACTTACCTTACTTTGATCGCAGAACCAACCGGGGCCCCAACCACTGCGCTTACCAGGAGCCGACTGCACCCTCGGCATCACCGAGTTTGCCATGGGAAAGAAGACCGATATGGCTTCATGGAACGGTCTCCCCGTCGAGCTCAGAGGTCTCATCCTCGAGCACCTGGCATTTAGCGCCGTCGCAGAGAGACGCTCAAGAATCTGGAAGTCTAAGAGCAAACGCCATGACATGGGCAGCTACGCCGTGGTGTGTCGACAGTGGCAGGGGTTCATTGAGAAGATCAACTTCAGCCATCTCGAGATCAGCACCGCCAAAGACCTCGCCAGCTTCGACGAGATACTCCAGGACCACGCCCGCCGCTCCTACCTTCGCCGCGTCTCACTCCGCGTCGAGCTGCCGCGCTACGCCAACAAGCTCGCCAAGATACCCGAAACCGACGTCGAGCAGAACGACAACGAAGTCGCCTTCACGCAGGGTATCTGGAACTTCTTCGACATCCTGAGCAAATGGACGCCTTCGGGCTCGGGCTCGGGCATCGAGCTGGAGCTGAGCGCCGCCTCGCCCAGCGATAAGAACAAGTACTTTGGCGAGATGGGCCTCGACCAGGATGGCAACTCACGCTTCTTCGACCACGACCTCGACTTTTGCTTCATCACCGCCGGCTGCGATCAGATTGGACGCCACGGCTTGCCCGAGGTCTCGGTCATCAGCAGCTGCCAGGTCTTACGTCGCAACCATCGCAACTTCTCATCTCGGGCACTCCTTACCATTTTCTCAAGTTTGCCTCAGCTTCAGGAAGTTCGCTTTGAGCCGTGGCATCAAGTCGACATGGAGGCACAGTTGGAAGTCGACTCAGGTATGCCTCCCTCTCTACATCATCTGAACGAATATGAGAAACGTAGGTACCCAATGAAACTAACACTTTCCAGATCACGCCCGGACTCTCCCCTTCTGGCCGTCTCACATCAAGCGGATCAGCATCTTTGAGCATTTTGATGCCTTTGCCGACGGCGGCGACGGCGAGTGGGAGGATGCTGATTCTGGCGATGAAATTGAGCCGGAAGCGAACAGCGAAGTTGCCGCTCCTGGTCTCGCCATGGCCGAGGCCGAAGACGTAGGCGACGTCCCAAGAACCTCATGCCCCAGCTTGGGCCACAACCTGGGCCATCTGAGTCTCCAGGCCGAGGAAATGGCCGTCTCAAACGTGTCTGACGTGAGCGACTTCTTCGATGGCCTCCTTGCACGCAACCGCGCACCACCCGTGTGGAAGAACCTCCGCCGGCTTGTTTTGACGTCAAATATGATGATTGACGGTGTCGACTCCGAGCTCATCAACAACGTCCTTCGCATGGTGGCTAATGCTGCGAAATACATGCCGGCGTTGCAGATTTTGGAGATATACAAGACCGACCAGTTCGGAGGCGCCGTCTTCCGCTACAGTGTCGAGACAATGTCGACGACAGCCACTTGGGAGAGCACCTGGGACTTCCGCGTGGAGAAAGATGTGAAAGCCGCGTGGGCGGAAGTGGCAAAGAGGAACACCCCTCACGATCTGGATTTCCTTCCCGAGATACTCCTGGGCGACTATCGTGGACCGTACGTCTTCTTTGACGAGAACCTGAAGACGAAAGAACTTGTTCTCCACCCGAACTCACTAGAGGACATGCTATCGAAGAAGATGGACAAGTGCAAAGCGTGCAACGGATACTGCGCGCATCCTAAGAGCACGGAGCAGGTCTGGGGTGCGTTTGGAGACGATGCATGAACTACTAGAGCAAAGCCGATGCATTCATACGAGATCATGTCTAGATACCCTGTAGAGTACGCATATTGCACGGCTGGTTCAGATACAAAACGGGACGGTTGGGTAAAAGCAGCACGGATTGCATAGTCATTTAGAAGGAATATAACAAATCGACAATAGCTTATGGATTGTCTTTTAATTAGTGCAAGTCAACACCTGCTTCAAGGTGTCTCGCCGATGATTCATCTCGCCGGCGCCACTGGTGAGTTCGGACCGTCCATCTGTCAACGTGCTTTAAGTGCGTACCAGTTAGGTGGTCGGTTAGTCATAACCCCTAAGTCCGAGTTTTTCCCGGTGCATTTCTTCCGGGCGGCAAAAATGGAGAAAGCGCTCACTGGATGTTCATAAGCGGAAGGAAACCCCCCTCGCTCGCCCTGCTCCTTCTCCACAGTCAACACGTGACGTGCACACAGAATTCAGTGAGCCAAAATTGCTGGTCCCGCAATCCTTCTCGCACGCAACCCGACGCCCATCCGCCCGCGCAGAAGTCGACAAACCCGCTCTCGATTTCCATCGACAACCAACTCACCGAAACACCACAGCAGCAACTTGTCAAACCGCCACAATGGGAAAGGTTCACGGATCGTTGGCGCGTGCCGGAAAGGTCAAGTCTCAGACGTAAGTCTTGCCCGTCCAGACAGTCTACAACCCATCTTGTGTACTTTCTCTCCTTTGGAGGGGAAGGTGGCAACCGCCCGAAAAAATCGGTGATCGCGGACGACGACGAGGGAAACACCGCTGGGGAAGAGGAGGGATCACAACACCCGGTGTTGACGATTGACGATGACGGAAATAACGATCTCAACGGACGCGATGACCGATCGGGCGATGCTGGGCAATGTCATGTTGATGAATGAAACCGAACCCGATCGCTGACCATCACGATAGCCCCAAGGTTGAGCCCCAGGAGAAGAAGAAGACCCCCAAGGGCCGCGCGAAGAAGCGTCTCACATACACCCGCCGCTTCGTCAACGTCACCCTCACCGGTGGCAAGCGCAAGGTACGATTTTCCTCGTTGAAGACTACTGCCGTCTTGAGATGTTCTCGAATGATCTTTAGTGACTAACGCCACCCTGCAGATGAACCCCAACCCTACCGCCTAAGCGCCTTTTCTCTCTTCCCCTACGCATTCGATACGACTCTAGGAACGTCTGGGCCACTGGCATGAGGGTGGAATCGACAGGACAATCAAGTTCAAGGGTGGTTGGCGAAATATGGTGAAATTTGGGAAATTGCCGTCATGGTCGGGGGTTCTACCACTCCTTCCCACCCTCTCCCCCTCCGCCCGCTGATGGTGTGAGACTGGGTGCGGCTTGGGTGTAGATGCTTTCTCCCCCGGCCTGACGAAGCAACAAGAGACAAACGAATGCGTACAGCAGAAATACGTAAAACTATTTGGTTTTCTGGCATTCAAAATCGGAAATGGGGAACTCGCTTTTTTACTTTGCCTATGTCTCCAAAGTCTGATGAGTCCACCAGGTGCCATCACGGCAGCTGGCGAACTTGCCACCGCTCGGGGAGAAATACACGATATTTCTTCGGTCACCTGCTTGTCTTGTTCTGTTCAAGTGATTCATGATGCTGGCCATTTGTAGAGACTACGTTTGGAGGAGACTGATTCGATGCTTTGATGACCAAGGCCACTAGATGAAATGCATGCCAATTCTGATATGCTTGTGTCGTCCGAGCGTACACGTCGACTGTCGTCCACCCAAGTCCGCATCGGTAGCGATACGGTCGAACAAAGAAACACTCGTAGGTTATCCAAATGCCTTCACACCTGGTTTCGTGCCATGTTGACATGGAGATGAACAACTGGACAAACTCGTCACATTGTCCGACTCGGCTCTCGATGTTGACTTGATCAACAGTCTAAATCCACAACGCCTTGCTCTTATAACAATCACCTCAGCCACACACCTGGTTTGGTACCAGCCTCAGGAGCCTCGAATGGGCAAGACGGGCCAACAAACTACCTTCCCTCACTCTTCTCCATACGTCCACCCCCTCACTCAACCGTCACCTCTGTCCAAGGCCCCTCTATTAGACTTCGACAACGAGAGGCTTGGAGGGTAGTCGTTCGGGCACCCCGGCCATGCCCCGCGGAGCTTCCAGTAGCACTCGTTCTTGTCCTCGCCGTGGGCGCCAGGGCAGTATCTTTCTGCGCGCCTCATGAGCTCCTCCATGAGGTCCATTTCTTTGGGGAACTTGGAGTTTCGGCGTTCTTCGTCTCCGAAGTCGGCGGGGGGCTGGGAGGTGGCGATGTTGATGCTGAGCCAGGGAAGAGCCAGGCTAGAAACGGCACTGGCAAGGAGGGTTGAAAGGAGCACGAAGGGTACGAGGCGCATTGTGGTGGTTTAGCCTGGGCGGGATATCCGACTTTTTGGCTGTTTGGTGCTGTCTATGCCTCCCCTTCCCTTTTGGCGAAGACGGACGCAGTGCTAAACTGGGCAGTTAAGTCGGGAAGGATGGCAAGGTCGACATGGTCCAGTTCAACTTGGAGCCATGGTATCTCTGTAACAATGAGATCTCGTGAGGACATCCTGTTCCGCCAGACATTTTGACTTTGGGACTATCACAGCTCATTCTCTTCAAGCTCTTCCAGCCAGTGGTCGACTAACAAGAAGCTTTCAACAGTGACTACGACAGACACAGAGACAGACATCCGGATTAATGCAATATCAATGTACAGGCCCTTGGTCATATTGTACCGAAACCCAGCCGATTAGGATAACTAGTATGTCCAAACGGTTCAGCTAGTCATCGATTTTGACCACAGAAAGTAGCGACAGCAAGATGACGATGCAAGTGTAACCCTTCATTGAGGTGTCCTAGAATATTTCCTCTCTCGATATGAGGCAGGAGAGCCAGTCAGCCCGACTACATTCCATCACTGATCGTTTCCGGCGACTCACTACAATCCTCCTAAACTCTCCAACCTTGCGGATCATCGCAACCGACATCCTTGAACCCACTGGACAAATCCCTCGACCACAGGGGTAGTTGCTGTTCAATAGCGATCGGTGTGACTGACGGATCTGGTTTCCTCATAGACTAGATAATTACCGGTGCCCGACAAATCAGTGTTAAGCCTTCCGCAACGGCGGCGAGAGTACATCTTGCGGCGCCGGGATGTCGTGCAACGCTTCCCCAGAACGGTTTAGACCTTGGCTTGATAGCGTTTTCAAGCTGCCTTGCAACTATCCTGATCTACACCACATGCAAAACTTCGGGATGTTATGCATCTAGCAGTAGTGGATGGCTGCCACATGAGAGTTGATGTCTCCAGTCCTTCAGATCGGTGTCTTGCCAGACTCGACGCCAGCTTTCGACGCCGGAGACAACGCGGGTCGCACGTCAGAGGCTTCTTTGCGGAGAACTTCTAGTGCGCACACTGGATGCTGCTTGAGAAAGCAATAGGAACATGTGGCAGACCTTCTCTTGGTATCCGGTATTAGTAGGAGCGGCGGGTGTGACGCTGTGCGTCGCGCGCGGTCGAGAATCGCGATTGGATGGTGCTATGAAAAGTTTCCACTGGCACCTACAAACGGACTATGCGATCAACAACCACCGCACCACCCACGCCGTTTCCAAAGCTAACAAGCTACACGGGAGATAGTAGCATAAGAAAAGCATCCGACTTACCATTGGCTGACGGTTGATGAAGAGACAGGGCACCCTCCGGCGCATCCGGTGCTTGGACGTGGTATCGCCAGTACAGTTGAGGCACTCCCAGTTCGTATCTGGGGCGTCTAACCAAGATGGCCTACTACTAACCCTCACGAGAAATCGCAAATATTGGAAGGAGTACAAGACGATACGTCATTTACACCTATGCTTTTTCATTTACCTGCTGTCACCACTAGAACTATCATTTCAACCAGTGTCGCGATGTCTTCTGGTGATTCTGATGCTTCCGATACCTCCGGTGCTTCCGTTGCCTCCGGCGCTTCCGTACGGAGCTGTATTTTTGCTAAGATCTTTCCGGAAGACCTTGAAGTCAGCTGTACTCCCGACAGTACGCCGGAGCGGTGCGATTACAGCACAGCCCGGCCCCACGAGCCTCCGGCCGAGCCCGGAGTGCCGGGCTCCTCTATACCCTTTGACGTACCGGCCCGGTCCCGAGATATACGGGAGCTTCCGGCAGCCCTTTCAGACCTTTTCCTTCAGTACGTTCCCCGGGGCCTTATTGAGCAGTGGGCCCAGTGGATGAATGCGGCACCGCTCTTAGAGGTAGACCCTTAGCCCAGACGGTTAAGTTAATGTGCTCTCTGCAAGGCTCTGTTGAGGTCTAGTACATCCTACTGTGGTTCTGCGTGCCTATAGCCTCCCCTCAATGTTCAGCTTTGTCTGTGTTGTTCTACAGACGCTAAGGGTTCGACAGTGGTACTGGGGTAGCCTAAGGGAAGCAACTTAGTATTGGACTGATTGCATACAAAAGGTTAGATATCTTCGCGGCCAGTGCGTAAGCCGGCCCCTATCCTGTTTGATGCTGGCCATACCGATGCTACCTTGACATCGTGAACATCAAAAACGGACCGAATGAATGTAACGATGGCTGAACGGTTTAACAAAGTATTGATCTCATTCTCCAGGTTTGGCTTCACCTGAAAGCCAATGGAATTGCTCCCTACGACGCCTGCTCCAAAGCATGGCGTGTAATTGAGATAGTGCTGAGCAAGCGCTGCCAGTTTGGGGGATAGGAGAGCTGCTCCTTCGCCTTTTTTGTGGCAAGGTTTTTTGAAAGAAGGTCGAGACAGAGTTTGTAATGCCTGGCTTACTATTGTCGAACTAGTCACCCACAACGGCGCAAGGTATGCATCCACAAATGGTATTATTTTTCACATGAAGGGGATTGATGTCTTGGCATGGCAAATTCAAGTAATTTTCACACTCTCAAGAAAAGATGGCGGTAAGGGTAAATAGTCTTATCGAAAGAATGGTCAACTAATGACCTTAAGTGTAGACTTACCCTGGCCAAGACCGTGAGCATAATATGCTACATGCAAGATGACGATCAGGGATTTCTCATGCCAAGGAAGCTTTCGTTTTCATTGATCAACGAGAATTTTTCTTGGGAAAAAAAATCTAGATATTGGAATCATTCTGACTCGAAGTTTCAACCCTGCTTGCTTTGGCGATTTTCGGCAACGTGAAACCAAGCCCTAGATAAATGGCAGTGGTGACAAATTCCGGCACAAGTGCCATTCCAGCATTAACTCCCACGCTGCCCCTGACGATAGAAAACTTGGCGCCTACGAAAACAGCAAGAACAGAGTACAGGAGTCGAACCAAAAGGAAAGGAGATGCGGAACCGAGAGCATAGGCGATGCGATGTTCTTCCTGGGGAACCTGATTGATAGACCTGAACGCCTTCAACAAGAGAAGCATGATGGCCGCAAAAGCAATAAAAAGAGAATGACGGCTGCCTCGGATGTTATAGAAAAATTCTGAACATCATCAACGGACGATTTAGCACTTATTCCGCCTACAATAATCAGAATCAAGCCTACCACCAAGGCAGCTTGAATGGCTCGGAGTTGCAAAGCGGTGGATTGAAACCACTATAATTCGTGAATCCTATGCTAATATGCAGAGGTCAGTATCGAACGACTAGATTTGTTTCTCAGAAACTTTTACTTACAATCTAGTAGCAAGCCCAAGGGTCGCCAAAAGTAAAGGTGATAGCCCAACGGAACTAAGAATTAGTGCCGCTTGATAGACGCCGATGGAAGATGAGTTATAGGTGATCAGCTGGCAGATTGAGCCAATGAGACGGGCTAGACAGAGTATGATGAGATAAACCCAGCCATATGACTTAAGAAAACCGTGCTGTCGGCCGATGTAGAAGGCGATGAACGAGGCAGGAATGTATATGATAATCTCTACAATAGAAACACCAGCTCTGGCATCGAGTGGTCGACTCATCTTTACGGCTTGAGGATGGAAATGTGTAGTTAACTGTGGGTTTTTTTTTTTTAAAAAGTTTTGCGAAGGGAAGATAAAGATTGATAATCTGAGAACCACATCCACTTCAAATGCTTGTCTACGGCTGTTGGCATTATATAAATCTTGACTATCATCTTGGACTCTACACTGCGGCCCTATTCATACTCAACTGACTAGACCGGATCTGGTGGGCTTTTCGACGCTAAGCCACAAACAACTAGCTGCTTCACCTTACCTGCCTCGTATTTCTTAATTCATCACCTCTCTTAAGGTGACTAATTAACATTTTGAAACCTCATATTCTCAAAAGTGAATTTTCTACTATTCTCTTACGGCTATTGCGGGCCTTCAACGGCGAAATTACCAGACATGGTGTTTTCTGGCCGCCCCTCAAGTGCTTGCCTTGCTTGCCGAAAGGGACGCCGCAAGGTGAGTCGATACTTATCGCTTTCGTGATGTTGCAGCCGAGATACAGCCAGGGACTGACGAGTATGAAGTGCGATCTTTTACCTAATGGGTGCTCCCAATGCGCTCGAAAACGCATTCGTTGCTCAGGCTACCGGGATATTTCCGAAATTTCCTTTAGAGGTGAGACGGATCGAGTAGCGCGCAAGGCGCAGTCAAGCGTCAGCCTCTCGTCTGCAGCTAAGATCCAAAGGCCAAGGCAGCCAACCTGGCAAAGAGAGTCACCAGAAAACGCATTCCTATATTGCGGCATAAGACGTGCTCCAGAACCTCTTATTGAGGATGCCGTCTTATATTTTATGTCTTCCTATGTCCCCCACACACCCTTCGACTACCTATCGCAAATGGAATATCCTTTTGTTAGTCCCAGCGATGCCTTCTTAGCTAGCATCCAAGCTGCTTCCTTAGCTAGTCTCTCGCTCAAGACTAGAGATAAGGGTTTAATGCTTTTGGCAAGGCATGAGTATGTACGTGCTTTATCAGTCACCAACCAGGCACTTGCCGACCGGTCACTAGCATTGCTTGACGATACTCTTGCCGCCGTCTTGCTTCTCGGGCTATTCGAGGCTCTTGCATGCTTAGAACAGCGATCCACAGAGAGCTGGACTGCCCATGCAGTCGGGGCTATCGAAATTTTGTGCCAAAGGGGCGTCGCACGAGTCCGCTCCGAATTCGGTCGGCGGCTCTTCCTCCACGCCAGCAGTAATATCCTCGCAAGTCATGCGCAGCGAGGCCTTCCGGTACCAGCAAGTTTTCAGCAGTTTCACCATAGGGTTACACGCTGTCTACCAACCGATTCTCTTGCTTGCCTTGGTCCAATCGTTAACCGGTTGATACGTCTTCGATCACAGTCGCAACATGACGACCCTGATGTGATGCGGCAAGTGGCATCAGATGCCCTTGAACTGGACACCCAAATGGTCTCGCTGCAATT